AAATAGTTATGTACAGGTTGGGGCAAAAGTAGGCTTATAGTTATTTGTATGGAAAATAATACAATAATTAATAGATAACAACACAAGAATAAATGGTGTTTTGCATTCTCACAACTGTAAACCTACTTTTGCTCTACCCTGTAGAATTCAAGAAGGCATAAATATAGCATCTATGCTGTGAACTTTTCTTCATATATAAGGTAACATATAAATATACATAATTTTCTCTCTATATAAAGTAACTATATTCATTACTATCCACTTTTTTACTGTCTATAAAAATTACATATATAATCTTAATTGTGAAATTTCACTCTTTATATGTATAATAGTGCAATCGGATATTCATTACATTATTATAATGTAACATGTAAATGTAATGTATAATTTTTTCTTTCTATATATACTGTAATTGGTCTTTATATATGAAGAGTTTAAGTTCAAAATTAGGGAGAAGTTTACATATAACTTTTTTTTCACAAATAGTAAAGAACTCCAGTTTAGTCTAACATGGATTATATCTCAGCTACCTCCTAACATCCCAAATTCCTGCATCGTGATGTTTGAATTTATACATCATTCCCTATATAATAAGACTCTTCCTGGTCTGGTTCTGAATCCCCACCCAACTTGGGGTTGTTATATTCCCTTGAACCTAAACTCTGTACTTTCTGTTTCATTAGGGAAAAGATATCTTCTTCAGAGTTTGTTGTGGGTTAGAATAATTCTTTCGGGTATTTGAGAATATAGCGTTTTATGCTTCCAATAACAAGATAGAATATAATTGTATTACAAACTTTTGATTCTACCTAATAGTTATCTCCTCTTGTTCATTTAAAAAGTAGATTGAATAATATTTTCTTTATTCTTTCAACTAGATTTGTAAGGACAGAGTTTTTCCTCTTCCAGGGCTATGTAAAAATAGAACTAAGTTTAACATTTCAGGTAGTCAGTGATTCTTAATTGCAAGTGTGTGATTGCCTAAAAGCTCAAAGGGATTGAGTTTTACAAAGGCATGTTGCATTGAGTTGTTTACTTTTTTTCTTTCTGAGACCTAAACTATTACTGTTATTTTAGGAACCTTTACCAGTTTCACCTGCACTTCAGAAACAAGATAGAATGTTAAAAAGATGGCAAGATATCCAGCTATGGCTATGCTCTAGAAAAGTAATAGCAGCAAAAAGAATTCATTATGATGTCAACCCAAGTGTGCAGACATTACTTTTAAAAGAGGTATCAGTGAGACACTACTCTAGAGCTCAGTTCATGCCTACAATTAAAAGAATATATTAAAAATATGAAATGAGTGATATTACCTATGAAATTTTGACTCATAGAAGAAAAACATAAAATAGTATAAAACATAAATTGTATAATAAATATATGTTATTACCTCCTAAAATAATATCTTTATAATTATAAATAAATATACATAGATTATTGGGAGGTGCATGGTATTTCAAGTGAAGGTATGTTTTTCCTAACATCTTTGAAATGTTATCAATTGTGACCCTCACATCTCAGCTGTATATCCTCCAAGTGACTAAATTGTATTCAGTTTTATGTATGGCATGAATGGTTGCCATAAAATTTTATTGATTTTTTTTTTTGCATGTGCCCTGACCAGGAATTGATCTGTGATCTCCTGGTTCATCGGTCGACAGTCAACCACTGAACCACACCGGCCGGGCACCATACATTTTTAAGCCGGATTCTTTGTTTTGCCATTTATATAAGTATGGGAAATGCTACAGTTTTTGACTTATGTAGGATGAATAAAACAATTTAAATTCACTATTGTGTTTCCTATAAGAATGTTAGTTAGCAGTTTTTAAGCACTTAAGATTCTATTGTAGCAGTTAAAAACTATATTTCTGAATTTTCAGTTGTATTAAGTTAAACTGGACTATAATTAATACTTCAAGATTCTCTGGCTTATCTGGCACAAGTATGATAGAGGTATTGAAGATAAATTTAATTTATCTTTAATATTAAATAAATAATTAACCTTCATTTTATTTTAATTAAACAACCACTAAATTTAATAGCCAAAAAAGTCATCCTTTGGCTTTCTGCTAACAGTTGTAGATAATTATTGTTAATCAAATTACTAGTTTGTGATGAAGTGCTCCCTACTTACTGTATGCTTGCCTTGCTTTCACCTAGAATTTAGGGCCATTACTTTCTGTAACCATTTCAGTGAGCTGCCATAGTTTTCGGTCTGTACTGTCACCTGATCCAAGCATGCGCCCAAAATATCCACTGTTTCTGGCTCCTGTCTGCTGAATCTGCTTTGCAAAATCTTTCGTTCTTTGAGCTTTTGCTTTAGCCAAAAACCAAATTTAAGAAATTCTTTGGAGTGTGGACATATGCCATTTGCTTCTTTAGCTCCCATGTTATGTAACTTGTTAGCTTTTATTAAACTTGTAAGTAATTACAACAGTGGCATCCCCATGTGCAACTGCGTGGCTCGTGTGTCAAAATAAAGGCTGCTTGTGAACTTGTCAGAAGAATATGAATGCTCCACTTGTGCTGCATTCAGCTTTTTATTCATTTTTTATTTTTTTTAATCAGCCACCTATTCTTTCATAGTGTTTGGTTTAATTATCTGATTATTTTATGTGTTATACCAAGGTAAGTTTGATGTATTAAACTTTGTATTCTATGTGATTACATGTATCTCATAGTACTTATTATTACATACTTTTCCATTTAGACATGCTAGTCATTTCTAAATAAATATATTTTGAACATAAACTAAGTGGCTCCCTCCATTTTTCATTAATTTGAAAAAGTGTTATGTATTACTTCTTGTAAAATTCATTCTTAAAATAGAAAAGCTACCATGTATTACTTGTGGCAAAAATGTAGGCACACCTAATGTGAGAAGATATATTTTTATAAAACCATAGTATATAATTATTTGTCTTAGCAAAAAATAGTTTAAACTTACAGAAAGATATAAGAAGTAAATAGCAGGCCCTACTAGTGCATTTAGGAAAAGTGAGACTTTTTATTTTACACAGTTTTTTACAAAAATAATTGTTTTCTAAACAGAAATATTTCTATTATTATTTATGGTATCTATTTTCAAAGAATAAATAATTTGATAGATTAAGTGACTATGTTCTAAAAATTCCCTGTTAGGAAAGGATGATATTAAATAGATTTTTTTTATACTTGTCTTAAAAGAAAAAGAATATGGATTTGAAAGTGTATTTGTGCTGTTAATGTCTGCATTTCAGTTAAAACTATGAAGAAATTCTTTAACATAATAGTATATGTGCAAAATAGGACCACCTAATTCTCTCACACACGTCTTAATTCTTAATATTGATTGCTAACACCGTATTGTAGTCTTTTCTATTTCTCTTTCTTTATTTTTCTCCTACTTTGACATTTTTCTTAGTTTCCTGGAGTCTGCATTTTTTCTTTTCTTCTGAAAGAAAGTTTTAGGGTAGCTCTGTCTTGGATCCAAAGCTTTAATTCAAGAAGTGGCTGGCATCATTTGTAGTTCTGGCCTTTATCTCCTCATTTCTCCCTTTTGCTGATCTTCCTCCCGTGGAGGAAACAAAATTACATCATAGGAATGTGAGCCATAGTAAGCCTTTAACCTTTCTTACTTTGCTGTCTTCAATATTTCACTAGTGAGTATAATTCTACTTATTCTTCTTATTTTGCAAAACATATTTTGAAAATGGATATATACTGAAATTCAAAAAAGAAGGTTTGGAGATTGTTTCATTTTCAGTTTTAGTAGTGCCTTATGTGTGGAAAATTTACAATAAGAGCTTAACATTTAGAGTTGGGTTTTTTTCTATCTCAACAATTTGCCACAAAAAGAAATAAATTAGGATGTGCTGGTTATAGTCCGTTTCTGTTTCTAACATCTTTGTATATAAAAAGCTACTATAATTTGCAGCTGCTGTTCACCAGTATTTTGCAGCTATATGCAAGTGATTAGTTAGGAAGTATGTGTGAGTGATGCTCCATTTATAATGCTCCATTACAAAACAACATTGGATTTCTCTATGGTAATGAAATCTAATTCTGGGATTTTAAGGCATTTACTTAATTACAGAGCCATACGTGGAATTACAGTGTTCTATCTGAAATTTGTCCCTATATACAATAACCAAATTATTTGTATTAATCTTTTAAATGTATTTGTTTTCTTTATTTTGAATTGGCTAGTCCCTTTATATTTTGTCATTTTGCTTTAGGACCCACATCTTTTTAGAAGGATAGCTACAGATGGCTTTCTCTCTCTTTTTTTAAAATATTTTTTTATTGGTTTTAGAGAGGAAGGGAGAGAGACAGAGAAACATCAGTGATAAGAGAGAATCATTGATCGGCTGCCTCCTCCATGCCCGCTACTGGCGGTCGAGCCCACAACCCAGGCATGTGCCCTTGATCGGAATCGAACCTGGGACCTTTTAGTCCGCAGGCTGACGTGCTATCCACTGAGCCAAACTGGTTAGGGTGGGCTTTCTCTCTCTCTCTCTTTTTTTTAACATCAATAAATCTACCTTGGAAAGAACTCAGAATATAGTGGGTTATAAAAGATAGGTACCAGGAAATGAAATCTGAATCTATATTAAATTTATAGATATGATTCATAGTGTGTTCTCTCAGTGAGGTGAGATATAAGATACCTTCTCAATTTAAGATTAGAATCTGGAAAGTCTGGGTCAACATTTTAAGTTGTATCTAATTAAATACATCTCTATAGATGTCCCTTAAAGTAATAAAGTAAATAGAACTAGGTGTTTTCCCCCCTAGCAATCAAGTTTAAAATGTTATACTTTTTGAGAAGTAGCATTACATTAAAATGTTAAGCTTTTGAGAAGTAGTATTTTAAAGATGTGATGTTGTAAAATCTGTTGTAGAACAGTGCTTTTTTTTTTTTTGCCTTCCAGCGTATGTTTATTTTAAACATTTCTTGTTCATATAGACAATGTACTATTGAGTAGTAAACTGATTTAAAATTTATTTTTCAGATGAACCAGAAACTCGAGATGCGTGGTGGGCAGAAATCAGACAAGAAATAAAGTCACATGCTAAAGCATTAGGCTGTCATGCTGTAGTGGGCTACAGTGAATCAACTAGCATCTGGTAAATGATAATACAACATGCTTTTCTAGGTGCTGTAACTTACAGATTGTCTTCTGAAGGGGGAAAAGCTTTATGTAAATATAGAGAGAAGAATAGCGGTGATCCAGGCGCATGGTCTTTAGAGTACCTCAGACTGAGGGTTAAATGCCATTTTTGCTTCTGAGTTGCTGTGAAATTTTGAGAAAGTTACTCTATTCCTCTGAGCCTCACTATACACATTGAATGAGAATATAATACTGACACACAGTAAATATTAACTTTAGGCTGATTTTATTCTAGGTTGTGACTCTATCAACTTCTACCTCTGGGATCTTTGGAACCCTTGATCTATGCAAATGTACTGCCTTGTGTCTTTAAAGCTCATCTGTACACTCATTTTTTTTTAATTTTTAATTTTAATTTTTTTTTTAGTAAATCTTTATTGTTCAGATTATTACATTTGTCCCTCTTTTTTTCCCCCATAGCTCCCCTCCACCCAGTTCCCACCCCACCCTCTGCCCTAACCCCCCCACTGTCCTCATCCCTAGGTGCACAATTTTTGTCCAGTCTCTTCCCGCATCTCTCACACCCCTTTCCCCACCAAGAATAGTAAGTCCATTCCCTTTCTATGTCCCTGATTCTATTATAATCACCAGTTCATTCTGTTCATCAGATTATTTATTCACTTGATTCTTAGATTCACTTGTTGATAGATGCATATTTGTTGTTCATAATTAGTATCTTTACCTTTTTCTTCTTCTTCCTCTTCTTAAAGGATACCTTTCAGCATTTCATATAATACTGGTTTGGTGGTGATGAACTCCTTTAGCTTTTCCTTATCTGTGAAGCTCTTTATCTGACCTTCAATTCTGAATGATAGCTTTGCTGGATAAAGTAATCTTGGTTGTAGGTTCTTGGCATTCATCACTTTGAATATTTCTTGCCACTCCCTTCTGGCCTGCAAAGTTTCTGTTGAGAAATCAGCTGACAGTCGTATGGGTATTCCCTTGTAGGTAACTGAGTTTCTTTCTCTTGCTGTTTTTAAGATTCTCTCTTTGTCTTTTGCTCTTGGCATTTTAATGATGATGTGTCTTGGTGTGGTCCTCTTTGGATTCCTTTTGTTTGGGGTTCTCTGTGCTTCTTGGACTTGGAAGTCTATTTCTTTCACCAGGTAGGGGAAGTTTTCTGTCATTATTTCTTCAAATAGGTTTTCAATATCTTGCTCTCTCTCATCTTCTGGCACCCCTATAATTCTGATGTTGGTACGCTTGAAGCTGTCCCAGAGGCTCCTTACACTATCTTCGTATTTTCGGATTCTTTTTTCATTTTGCTTTTCCAGTTGGGTGTTTTTTGCTTCCTTGCATTTCAAATCATTGCCTTGATTCTTGTGCTCCTCTGGTCTGCTGTTGGGAGTCTGTATAGTATTCGTTATTTCAGTCCGTGTATGCTTAATTTCTAGTTGGTTCTTTATCACAACATCCAGGGTCTCATTAGATTTCTTGAGGATCTCAATAACTTTTTCGGCGGCTTCTAGACAGTTCTTAAGAGACCTTAAAAGTGTGGTTCTGAACTCAATATCCTCCATTGACAGTTTTGTCCTGTTTCTTTGTCTCCGCATTTTTTATGCTTTCTTGGTGCACCCCCTAGTGGTCTTTGTGCACAGTCTTGTTGTAGTTAAGCCTTGATTGTTGTAGGTAACACTGGGGGGGATTTGACCTCCAGGCCAACTGGCTGTGAGAATCAGCTGTGTCTGCAGTGGGAAAACTTCTGTCCTCTGGAGAGGTGCTAATCTAGCCTTTGCCTGAGGCTATCTGGCAAATGGCTCTGTGCAGGGCTTGGGCGGGGCGGGTCTCGGGATCAACAGAGCGGGTGGAGGGAGCAGTTATGGCTGCTCTCAGTCCTGTCCCCAGAGGCTCTGCCTCTCAGAGTCCCAGCAACCGCTGCAAACCTCGGAGAGAAAGCTGCCCTCGCATTCAGACCGATGCCAGACAGTCCCGCTTCTCCCGTTTGAGTCTGGGTCCCTAGAGACTCGCCCAGAACTGGATCTCAGAGACTCCCTCCCAATTGAAAACGACAACCGCGGCCTCAGCTACCAGCCTGCACCGCGCGTACCTCTGCACCTTTGTATTTTCCGCACTGCACCTCCTCTGAGTCTCGTATGCTGTTCTCTTTCCTTCTAGTTGAAGAATTTCCCCTCAGCCAGTCTTGCTGTGGTTCTGGGCGATGTCCGTTCTGTCTTTTAGTTGTATTTGTGAAGTGGTTGTTCGAGGCAGCTAACTCCGGTGTTTACCTATGCCGCCATCTTGGTTTTCTCCCTGTACACTCTTTCTACCTTCTTTTACTAACTGTTCTTTCTCCTACTAACCAAATCATCCTAATCTGCCAAGCAATGAAGGGACTTCCATACTATTAGTTCTCAAAATCTTTTTTCCCTACTTCTCATTTGAACAACCTCTTCTCCTTTAAAGTCCATGCTGTTCCACAGTTGACTTTTCTCCCTCCCTCCAAAGCAGTCTTCTGCCTGTCTTAATTTCTTCTCTGCCCTCTCCTCCAGTTAGAGTTATTAACTCAATTCTATCACCCTGGCATTGTATTTCTCATTCTTAAGTACCCTATCTCCACTTGACTTTTAACCATACTTTGGACCTCATTTTCACTCAAAACTGTTGCCTCTTAAAAATGTGAAACTCTTCCATTGCCCTAGGAGCAATATCGGTGAAGAAATTGCTTTGGCATATGACTGAGATTTTGCTGCCTGTGGATTCCTCTAGTATTTTTATGGTTTCCCATCTTATGTTTAAGCCCTTTATCCATTTTTGAGTTTATTTTTGTGTAAGGTGTAAGTTGGTGGTCTAGTTTCATTTTTTTGCATGTATCTGTCCAAATTTCCCAACACCATTTATTGAAGAGATTGTCTTGACTCCATTGTATGCTCTTGCCTCCTTTGTCAAATATTAATTGAGCATAGTGGTTTGGGTCGATTTCTGGATTCTCTGTTATATTCCATTGATCTATATGTCTGTTCTTGTGCCAGTACCAGGCAGTTTTGAGAACTGTGGCTTTGTAATACAGCTTGATATCTGGTATTGAGATCCTACCTACTTTGTTCTTCTTTCTCAGGATCGCTGCAGCTATTTGGGGGGTTAGGGGGGTAATGGGGGGATAAGGACACATATGCAATACCTTAATCAATAAAGAAATTTTAAAAAATGTGAGACTCTTAAGAGTTCATTCTTGGATCACAATAATTTCCTCCACACCATTTGCTCATGCACACCTGGTTTGTTTGGGCCTCTATCATAACCAGGAATTTTTCTAGTTCCTTACTCAGGTTCTGGCTTTACTTATTTCTGACATCCTTGTACCCTACTATAATTTCCTTCAAAGTTTACAATAGATATCATCTAAAAACTAACCTTCTGCTGTCTTATTTTCCATCTTCTGTTCTTAGATAATTCTTACTGGAATTATTACATGGATAATTCTTTTGCATTTGTGGTGATCAGTATTAGAGAAGAAGGATTAGATTGTAGTAAATGTGGACATTACAGAGCCATGCCTGTTGCATCTTTATCTTTACAGTCCATGTATTATCTTCTTGAACTGTTTTATTCCGATTGTAGCTCTACTTTTGTTAAACTACTAACTCTGTTATGCTTATCCTGCCTTATTCCCCAATATATAGTCTTGCTTCATTCACAGATTTAAGGGCACACACTTTCAAGTCCTAGGGATATGGTTTTAAAAGACATAGTTTTTGTTATCAGATTCATATTATACTGGAGAATTATGATGAATATACATTTTATGATAGAGATATCCCAGGATGCTTTGGGATCCCAGAGGGTTGGAGGTTAAAGGTATGATTAGAAGGAAGTGTTAATGTAGTAATTGAAGCTTGAATGGAATCTTGGAGGATGAGTATGAATCACATAAATGAAGTGAAGAGGCATAAGGAGTGTTCAAGGCTATAAACAACACTGGAGGAGGTTTAGATTCAGTGAGGCTGGAGATAGATCACAGATGTGACGTCTACAGACATGAGTCCAATTAATTTACTTAGAAGTTTGAATTCATCTGACACAAACTCCTTTTTTTTCCTCTAGACCTCAAAAAGTCTTTATATTGAATCCCATTTTTACTAATGTGTTCTGTTCTAACCCATCCAACTTACTATTACTGTATTAAACTCCTTGAACTACACCTGCTCTTATAGCTCCTTGATTTAGTGTCTTCTAGTTACTCCATGTTATTCCTTCGGACATTCTCAGTACCCACTTGCACATTTGAAACCTGGCCTCTCTCTAGTCAAGCGATCATTTCTTTCTTATCCTCTGAGGCTTCCCATCCATTTACACTTTGTTTCCAGCCTTTTGTCCCTAGGCTGCTGCTTTTCTGATTTGCTTTGTGATCTCTTTCAGTATTTGTGTTGTCTACTTTTTTTCTCGGCTTTCGAATTGGGTAATATATAGTAAAGACTCTCAAAGAATTCTTTTGAATATAAATTTTTAGTATATACATAAAACGATGTAGTTTAAGCTCCATTTAGTATATTTTGGATATTATTTGTTTCAGATACTTTTTATTAAGTTTATATTAAGCTTTAGCAATATAGATATATATGTAGTTTGCTTTTAGAATAACTTAAATAAAATTTAATGTGCATTTAGAAGATTGTAATATATTTTAATGAGCTATTGCCTGATTCAACAATACGGTTACTACTTTTATTTTGAAATATTCCTATCTTACTCAGCTTTACCATATTTTAAAGGAATTTATTGTCATTAATATACTTTATCTTTTACAATTTTTAAGTAATAAAGAATTCTTGCCTTCTCCATTTTAATAACATTACATTTCTTCTATTTTCTCTCCTAGGTTTAGGAGGTAATCCTGTGATATTATTAATATTTAGTAGAGTCTAACCTGAATTTAAATTGTCACCCTAGTAATCACTTTGATATTTAACATTTTCCAAACTTAGATTACCTAAAAATGTTAACTTGTTTTTTTGTTTTTTTTTCTTTTATAGTGAAGAGGTCTGTATTTTATCTGCATCTGGCACAGCAGCTGTACTGAACCCTAGATTTCTGCAGGATGGCACCGTGGAGAGCTGTTTGGAACAGAGGTTGTCATGGCAGCCTGGCTTGTTTTCCATAAGGGCAGAGAAGGGAGAGGTTGATTTCTTTTGTCAGAGCTGGGATAAGTCTTCTCTGTGAGGGTGGGTTAGTGGGACAGTGTAGGAATCAGGACCAGGCACTTTACTGATTTTTATCTAATGCACAGCAACAGAGCAGTATTGAGATCTGCACTATATGACACACATGATTTCTAGTATCTTGATAAGTGACATGTATGATTACCAATTGCAGAATTTCAAGGAGACATTTTTTTGTTTGTTACATTATAGAAATAATTTCTTTGATTTGATTTTTTCTTTCTTTTGTCTTACCTCTAAAATGGAAAAAGACTATGAAACAATTTTCATAAAGAGAATTCTTCATTTATAAAACCATCAAAACACTATATTATACCAAAATTATATATAAAGTTTCATGGAAAGTGAAATGTTTTTATTAGAAATTCTTAAATTACATTTGCATTATATCTGTCATACAATAAGAAAATATCACCTTTTTTGTCTAACCATTTGTTTTTATGTTGTATCCCAAAGAAAAAACTTTGAATTAATAGTGTTTTTTGTCAGATGGTAAGTCATCACACAAATTGATAAAAAATGGTTTTCTATTTGTATAAACCTTTTCTCTCACATGGTTCTCATTTCATGGTCATTTGTAATTCTTACCAGTCATAGTGGTACTCTCTGTGGTAGAAATTGTTGTGTAGTTTGTACACAAGAACTATGTATGTAATATGTTTGTTTGTTTTTAAAGAAACACAGAATTTTCAAGTGTGCCTTATTTTTCTTCTTAATGTATTCATATAGGCTAGAAGAAAATTTGCCTGCAGGCTGTGGATTTTGCCATATACCATATGATGAACTGAATATGCCATTTCCAGCTCATCTCACATATTGCTATAACTGCAGGAAACAAAAAGTTCCTGATGTTCTCTTTACAACTATAGACCTCCCAATAGATGCTACAGTTATTGGAAAAGGTTGTCTTATTCAAGCAAGGTATGTTTGTGAAATCAGTATTTGGGGTCCCTGAAAGAGTATGGGGTATGGAGCCAAATAGACCTATTTTCAAATATCTGCTCTGTTTCCTACCTGGGATCCTGGACAGGCTAGGAAGTTCTGTCTGAATCTTGTATATTATCATAGAGAAAATTGGGAGGAAAAATACCCTCATTATAAAACTTAAGTAAGTATATATTAGTTTTAAATATTTAAATTCTGTATATATTTTTATGATGATGATGATTATTAATTAACCTGTCGAAGGACCAGGATGTGACTCAGTATGCTTTTGGAAACTGACATTTTTCTTTTAAAAAACAGTGCTATTTAATATTTCTTTTATTATTTCTCTTAGCTGGTAAGAGTTCCTTTTAAACTGACAAGAGTAGGAAATGGTAAATTGTGGTAGGCATATGGGAAACAGCTCTAATTGTCTACTAGTAGATCACTAACAGCTGCCGGGTTACCAAGTTCAGTGAGCATTTCTGTCCTCATCTTCCTTGACATTCCAGCATAGTCATACAGTTGATCGTTTTCTCTTTTTTGAAACTTCTTTGACTTCAGAACTCCAAATCTTCTGCTTTTTCCTACCTTTATGAATGGTGTCTAGTCTCCTTGTTGATTCCTCTTCATTTCTTGATCCTTGAGAGCCATGGGTCTGGATCCTCCTTTCAAAACTCTCTCCATAGTTGAACCCATGTTATCTGTGTCTGTGTCTCCCAAATTTATAACTTCAGTCCAGAACTTTCTTCTGAGCTTCAGACCCATATACTAACCTGCTACTTCACATCCCATTTTAAAAATTATTTTTAAAAATTTTATCTTTATTGTTGAAAGTATTACGGATATCCTCCTTTTTACCCATTGACCCCCTCCCCTTCCCTCTCAGCCCCTCCCCAAATCTTCACCATGCTATTGATGTGTCATAGATGTCTCATGCTTATTCCAAATTGAACTGCTGATTTTTTCTACTTTCATATTAGCCATCTCTACTGTAATAAATTATGCCTTGCTCTGTCCAGTCCTTTATGATAAATATGGTATTTTTTGACATTGTCCTTTTCCTAATTTCCCCACTTGTTATTACATAGTCATGTTGTGTTTTCTTCGAAATATATTTTTAATCTATTTACTTTTGTTTTATTCCCTCCTGCATTTTAGGCCTTTCATTTTGGGTGGTTTTACTTTTGCATGAGGTATATCCTTTAGTATTTCTTTGGTTGGGTCTGCTGGTGGTGAACTTTCTATTTTTGCTTATCTGAATGTGTTTATTTTATCTTTTTAAAATTTTTTTTTATTTTTTATTTTTTTTGAAGGATTATTTCTTAGTTTTTTAATTATAGTTTTCTCATCTCCACCCTTTCTTTCTTCCTTTCTTTCTTTTTTTTTCTGGTTTCATGGGGAGTTGAATATTTCTTTTTCTTTTTTTTTTTAATTAAATCTTTATTCAGATTATTACAGTTGTTCCTCTTTTTTCCCCCATGATGAGGCCCAGCTATGAAGCAATGCAAGCTGCTGTGGGGTCTTGGGCCTTCTTTTGGATGTTCTGGGTCTCTCTGACCCAGCTGCAGTTTGTTAGGTAATTTTAGATTGCAAAGGGCCAGGCCATTCATATGCAAAAGCCTCTGTGCACAGCTTGGGTGGGGCGGGGTCTCAGGGAATCAACAGGGCGGAGCAAACAGCTATGGCTGATCCTCAGCCCTGCCCTAAGAGGCCCTGGGTCTCAGTGTCCCGCAGTAATCACTGCAAGCACCTCAGAGAGAAAGCTGCCCTCGAGTTCCGCCCGCTGCCAGAAAGTCCAGTTTCTCCCCATATGGGTCTGGGTCCCCAGAGACTCACCCGGAACTGGAGTTCAGAGCAGTTGGGAGCTTGTGTCTCCCTCCCAATTGAAAAAGACAACCGAGTTCTCAGTTGCCATCTCTTTCTGTGTGTACCTCCGTACCTCTGCACTTTACTTCCGCACCTCCTCTGAATCTCAGTGTGCTTTTCTCTTTCCTTCTAGTTGTAGAATTTCCACTGAGCCAGCCTTCCTGTGGTTCTGGATGATGTCCATTTTGTCTTTTAGTTGTAGTTTTGAAGTGTTTGTGCGAGGCAGCAATTTCAGGTGTTTACCTATGCTGCCATCTTGGTTTCTCAATCTATTTTATCTTTAAAAGATATTTTGGGGTGGCAGTTACTTTATTTCAGCACACTAAAGATACTCTTCCACTGCCTCTTTGCTTTTATTGCTACTTTTGAAAAATAATCTGTTAGACTGTTTCTTTGAAGCTGTGTGTAAGCTATTCTTTATCTTTGGTTTTCTGCAGTTTCCCTATGAATTGTTATGTTGGAATTATCTTTATCTTAATTGTTATATATTGGGTTTCTTGAATCTGTAGAATAATGTCTTTCATGTGTTTTAGAAAATTTTTAGATTTTAATTCTCCTATGTTTCCATCTCTTCTCCTTTTTTTTTTAATCCTCATCTGAGGATATTTTCCCATTGTTTTTTAGAGAGAGGGAAAGACAGAAATATTGATGTGGTTGCCTCCTGCATGAGCCCTGACCAGGGCCCGGGCTGGGGAGGAGCCTGTAACCAAGGTATGTGCCCTTGACCAGAATTGAACCCAGACCCGACCCTTTGGTCCACAGGCCAACACTCTCCACTGAGCCAAACCGGCTAGGGCTCTTCTCTCTTCTTGATACTCCAGTTAAAATATGTTAGACTTTCCACTGCCTCCTCTATGTCTGTTACCGTCTCTTCTGTATTTTCTATCTTTTTGTTTCTCTTTGCTATATTTTAGATATACTTTCTTGTCTTTCAATTATTTTTCTCTTTGGCTCTCTAATATGCTAAGAAGCCTAATAATTTGAGTTTAAATTTTTCGTAATTTATTTTTTATTTATAGAAGTCTTATTTCACTCTTTTTCAAATCTAATATCACATTTTATAGTCTGATTCTGTAATTAATACTTTTAATATCTGAAATATTTTTCTGTTGTTTCTGCTGGTTATTGTTCATAGTGTTTTGTTTCCTTTGACAGTGATAGGCACACAGGAAGTTACAAAATGGTACAAGGAGTTCCATCACTTTTCCTCATTGGTGACATCTTATACAACTGTCATAGAGTATTAGTGAGGAAATTGACATTGGTATAATTCTGTTAATCTAATTCAGAACTTATTCAGTTTTTACAACCATCACCACAATCAAGACACAGAACAGTTCCAGGCCAAAAAAGAAATTTTTTGTCCTATCTCCTTATGTTTATGCCCCACACTGCCCCTTTCCTTGGTCCTGTGGTGCTTTTCAGAATATTTATATATATAATATATATACATACATATTATATATCTATATCTATATCTGTATCTGTATCTGTATCTATATCTATATCTATATACTTAACAGTTTCTTTGTTTGTTTTAGGTAGAAGGGGGTTGGTCTCTATCAGCAGTTCTCAGAGTGTGGTCCCAAACTAAGAAATGGCATCACCATCCTAGGGGGAACTTACAGAAATGTAAATTCTCAGGTCTCACCCCAGATTTATTGAATCAGAAATTCTGATGATGGGGCCCACTGATTGTTTCTTAACTAGTCCTCCAGGTAGTTCTGATGTAACTCAAGTTTGAGAACTACTAGGATAAATAGCCTGGCTTCCAGTATGGGTGATGGTAGCCTTTTGTCTACCATCCCCTACATCCATTCTGTCATCTTTGTTCCATGCTGTGTGTAGCAATATAAATGATGTCCTAAAATATAAATTGGCTCATGTTACTACTCAAAACCTATTTGGGGTTTTCCATTGATGGCAGAATAAAATCAAGCTCCTTACCATGACCTATACGCCCCTAATATGATCATGCCCTTGTTTACCTGTACACGTCTAAGTACTACTCTCACCCTTGCTCACTTCACTGTAGCTATGGCAGTCACCGTTTGGTTCTTCTAATATGCTAGCTAGTTCTGTTCTATGATTGTCTTTCTCCTGCTCTCCCAGTCCCATCATGTATCAGAGATCTCAACTCAGGTGTCATCTCTCCTGTGAGGCCTCTCTAGTTATTCCCACTTATTTCGCCTGGTTTATTTTCTTCAGATATTTGATTCTTAACATAATCTGAGGTTGCCTTGTTTATGTCCCCCACCACACACACACACACACACACACACACACACACACTCACACTCACTCACTCACTCACTGGTTTTTATTCATGAGAACAAGGGCCTTTGTGAATATAACTGTTAGGGTCGCCAAAGGAGGAATGCACAAGGCCAAAAGGGGTAAAGAATTATAAATTTATTGTTACATCTGCTAGCAGAAGGGCTGAGGCCAAAACAGCATCAGCGGGGCAGAGGAGGGGGAGCGGGATATTTATGTCTCTTATAAAGGTCAGTTAGAGGATCAGGTGCAGGTGGAGGCCAGGTGGAGGCGGTCCCTGGAAACTGTGGATGAGGCAGTTTACTGGAAGCCAAAGGCCATTAATCATGAAACCTATAGTGAGAATAACAGGACAATCGCTGGGAGGGGCGAGAGCCCCAAGCAGAGCATAATGGAGTACAAGAATGTCCCTAGCAATAACTGTGAGAAACAGGACTTTGTATTTTTTTCATTGATTAGTGCTCGTCACCTAGAAGAGTGCCTGGCACATGACAGATATTCAAGTTTTATATTTTTTATAAACTGCGTTTTTATAAGTTTATATTCTTTCAATGAATAAATTAACTTTTCCCTTTGCTGTCCATTCATCAGACAATCACATGGAGTTATGAAACCTAGATTTAAATTATATTCCCTAGTGATTTTGATCAATATTTCATATTTAGAAATTTAGAGATTTTTTTCCTTTTGTTTATTGAAATAGATTTTCAGCAAAAACATATACAGTGAAAAAAATGGCAGGAAGATTATTGATATAACTTAATTAAGCCTATTTTAAATGAGCAAATGTCTTCTCAAGCACACTCTTAGAAAGTTTTAAAGATTAGATATTTTTTTAAAAAATATTTTAATTAATTTCAGAGAGGAAGGGAGAGAGAGAAACTTCAATGATGAGAGAGAATCATTGATTGGCTACCTCCTGCACACCCCAATAGGGAACCCAGGCATATGCCCTGACCGGAAATTAAACCACCTTGTTCACAGGTCAATGTTCAACCACTGAGCTATAGTGGCCAGGCCTAACTACATTCTTTTTTTTAACAGGTTATGTCGTTTAAAAAAGAAAGCACAGGCAGAAGCAAATGCCACAGCTATCAGTAATCTGTTGCCATTTATGGAATACGAAGTGCATACTCAGCTAATGAATAAACTAAAACTCAAAGGAATGAATGCTTTATTTGGACTGAGAATTCAGATCACAGTGGGTGAAAATATGTTGATGGGCTTAGCGGTAAGTTTGCATGTTTTGTTTTTGCAATTCCTGTAGTTGTAGTAGATTCTGTTTTAAGTGATTCAAAGAGTCTTTTTAAAAGACTTATCTAAAGAAACTGGCAACAAGACTTTTAAGGGTTGGAGACATAAGAATTAACAGATCTGGTGATAGACTTTTAAATATTTTATCTTTAATTATAAAATTGTTATTTAAAATTAAATTAATTATCACATAAAATATTGATTGATTGATATTAATGTTATTATATATTTATATTCTGCCCATAACCTCAGTAGTCAGATTTCTAAAAATAATTATGTGAAGCTTGTTTAGTAAGTTGACCGCCATCATACTGGGCTTTATTGTTGTTTATACGTTGCTAAAACAGGGCTTATCCTGCTTGGAATTGTTGAGATTTGGGGCTGGATAACTCTTTGTTGTAGCGGATTGTCTCATTCATTGTAGGATATTTATCAGCATCCCTGGCCTCTGCCAACTAGAAGCTAATAACTTTCCTCCACTGTGACAACAAAAAATATGTCCAGACTTTACCAGATGTCCTTTAGGGGGCAAAATCACTCCTGAAAAGAAGATGAGGGGGAAGAACTAAAATAATCATTAGTTTTAATGGAGAAAGTAAAGCAATACCTGTGAGACACTGCCTACTGTTGGGCAGAGAATTATATTTTATTATAATTGTAACATCTGTGGTCAGAAGACAGTAGAATATGCAATAAATTGTGTCTCTTAAGTGCTGATAAATTGTGAGGCAGTGGAAAGTTATCTCAGCTTCATGTCTATCTTTGCTTATTAGAAAACAAGTTCTGTCTAGAAAAGTTGTAATGGGCATGAACTGCCTTTATAAGTAGCCTGAGATCCAGAGAAATAGTTGCCTGCGAAATATATATTGATTAGTTGGAATCTGAGCAACAATGTTTATCGAAAAGCTCTCACACACAAGATACTTTGATAGCCAGAATTTTATGTCATTGGTACTTTTAAATTTGGAATTCTCTGTCATCTTTTTGAGACATGCATAGAAATTTTACCTAAGAAATTGATGGAACTTGGATTCTTTTTTTCAGTATGCATTTGTGCATAAAATGATAAGTTGTTTCTTGCTTCATCCACTTTTCTGTAAGAGAAAATATGGAAATTTCTGTATTTAGGATATAATTTTGTAATGATGATTAATTATATAATCACAAATTTTAACTAGGAATTTGTAGTGATTAATTATTTATATTCAAATATTTGATAGTTAGATTAACTTGCGGGGGAAAAGTATCCGTTATAATTCGTTCATCTAAACCAGCGGTTCTCAACCTGTGGGCCGCGAAAATACATCCTGCAGATCAGATATTTACATTACGATTCATAACAGTAGCAAAATTACAGTTATGAAGTAGCAACGAAAATAATTTTATGGTTGGGGGTCACCACAACATGAGGAACTGTATTAAAGGGTCGCAGCATTAGGAAGGTTGAGAACCACTCACACACTTAGCTAGGACTTAACATACAAAACTATAGTTACTGGTAGGCATCTATAAGAACTAAGAACTTGATTTGTATTCAAAGGTGTAAGAAACACTGTGCCAAATGTATCAAACACTTCCTGTGGTTGAACCCCAGGAAACTATTATGTGATCCTGCTATAATGCTTCAATACCTGCCTCAAATACTGCCTTTTCTGATTCTTACTAATCTTTTCTTTCTTGGGCACATTTAGTGACATCATTTATAGCTGAGATTTGTCATCTAGTGACATCATTTATAGCTGTTTGAGATTTGGATCTTTGTGTGTGTTTTTAGCTTGTGCACTCAAGGTCCCAAGAGTAGCTTCCATGGTAGTTAACCTCTGATGAGTGCTACTGGGTGTCTGGCACTGTGTTATTCCAGAAGAAATGTAATATTATCTTTACTTTGCACAAGGAGAAAATGTATGCTGTGATAGGTTGAAACTTGTCCAAAGTGATATGGTTACATGTACTGGAACTGGGTTTCAAACCCAGGACTGTCTAGTTCTAGAGTCTGTGTGTTCTCAACTATTCTGAGCCATTGCTTCATTAGCCATTGCAGTTAATATTAGAAATGGTACAGTAAGGCTTCATGTGGCACAGAGGGTATTCTGAGATTGAGCATCAGAAACTGGGTCATGGGTGCAGTCATGGACACTAATGAACAAACCAGGAGGGCGAGCTTCTGAGGATCAGTTTCATCTACTGCCCAGTCTTCATCATAAAGTGTCATACACTTTTTGAGAATGGACTTTTATAAAATTGGCAATTGATTAATTTTTAAAACCCACCTCAATTCAAAATAACACAAATATCCAGATTTAAAAAATTGTCTGCTCTTTGCCTCATTCTACCCCTTTGATGTGAACAATTTGATGTTAATATGTCTATGTATTTTTTTTCTTTGTTTATATAAGCATATTTAAATATATATGCACATAGGTGTGAGGAGTGTGTGTGTATTTCCCCTAATAGTTTTCTAGTACTAATGGCATATAGTACTGCTACAGAGTCAGAAATTAATAGCCCATTAATTAAAAATTTAAAGTAAATCTGTATCAAGTACAGTTTTCTTTCTTTTTTTCTTTATTTGATTTTTTTACAATATACAAAATAAATCTATTACCAGATTGTAGATACAAAATAATTAGCCATTTACATGCAATAAACATTAATATTTCAAGAAAATGATTTTAAATATGTTACATGCAATAAACATTAATTTTTCAAGAAAAATGATTTTAAATATAATAATGTTATATGCAATAAACATTAATATTTCAAGAAAAACGATTTTCAATATAATAATACTAGAGGCCTAGTGCATGAAATTCATGCATTTGGGGGAGGGGGCTCCTCAACTCAGCCTGTGCCCTCTTACAGTCCGGGAGCCCTTGGGGGATGTCTGACTGCTGGCTTCAGGGGGAGCGGGCCTAAGCCGCTGTCAGACATCCTTAGTACTGCTGCGGAGGCAGGAGAGGCTCCTGCCATCGCTGCTGCGCTCGCCAGCCATAAGCCCGGCTTCTGGCTGAGCGGTGCTCCCCCTGTAAGATCGGCTGAAACCAGCTCTCCGACATTCCCCCAAGGGGTCCTGGATTGCGAGAGGGCACAGGCCAGGCCAAGGGACCCCACCAGCGCATGATTGGGGCCGGGGAGAGACATGGGAGGTTGGCCAGCTGGGGAAGGACCACAGGAGGGCTCCAGGGTGTGTCCAGCCTGTCTCGCTCAGTCCTGATCGGCTGGACCCCAGCAGCAAGCTAACCAACTAATTGGAGCGTCTACCCCCTGGTAGTCAGTGCACATCATAGCGACTGGTTGACCAGTCGACTGTCTGCCCCCTGGTGGTCAGTGAATGTCATAGCGAGCAGTTGAGTGGCCTTACCATATTATTAGCATATTATGCTGTGATTGCTTGAATGGCCGACTGGTCAATCAGACACTTAGCATATTAGGCTTTTGTTATATGGGATTACATGCAATAAACATTGATATTTCAAGAAAAAAATATTTTAAATCCTCTATAATAAAAGGGTAATATGCAAATTGACCCAAACGGCAGAATGACCGGGAACAACCGGTCCCTATGATGTGCACTGACCACCAGGGGGCAGCCGGGCTGAGGGACCCCCCTAAGTATATGAATTTTCATGCACCGGGCCTCTATTACAATAATATTACCAAAACTGTACTAACGTAGTATAATATCACAAACATTGTAGGCAATATTACAAATCTGCAAATAACAGGATTACTTCTATTATATTCTAAAATATTTTTTTTCTCTTGACTCTGTTTTTGTCCATTAGTTTATGTTGTTCATTATATTCCACAAATGAGTGAGATCATGTGATATTTATCTTTCTCTGACTGGCTTATTTTGCTTAGCATATTGCTCTCCAGGTCCATCCATGCTGTTTTCCTTCTTGATAAATATGGAGGTAACATGGTTTAGTGAAAAGTTCTTGGGTTTGGAGAAACAGATTCAAGTCTCTTTTCCAAATTTATTGACAGTGTGATCTTGAGTAAGTTCCCTATTCTTTTTGCACTTCAGTATCTTCACTTTCATTGCAAAGTTTCCCTTTTTTGTCACAGAAAAGGTCAATTATCTACTCGTTGATGAAAAACTTACTTTTAACAACTGTGTGTGTGTGTGTGTGTGTGTGTGTGTGTGTGTGTGTGTGTATTTATTTATTTTAGAGAGAGAGATAAATATTCATGTGAGAGAGAAACATCGATTGGCTGTCTCCTGTAGGCCCCTTGACCAGAGGTTGAAACTGCAGCCTGGGTATGTGCCCTGGCAGGGAATTGAACCTGTGACCTTTGGGTGCACTAGATGATGCTCAACCAACTGAGCCATACTAGCCAGGGCTACTTTTAACAACTTTTTATATTTTTTTCCTAAACCTTTTCAATGCAATTAATTTCTTGCAACCATAGGTAAAAATTTTATAGCACAGCTAGGTATACAGTGAAAAGTCCTCCTAAACCATCTACCCCAGGTTCTCAACAGATGCAGCCAACCCCTATTCCCAGTTATGTTTTGCTGTGCTTGTCCACCTATGTCCTGTGCATCCATTGACATTAATTATCTTTCTCCTACTGGGCAAAGACCACATTCCTAAATATGAAAACTTAAGGTTCTGTTGTCCTATAGATATTTTTAACAATTATTTCCTAATTATTTTTACAAGTCGGCCACAGGTGTATATTTAGCAGCATTACCACTGCCTGGTGGAATTCAGATTGCTGGGAAGACTCCTAATGATGGCTCCTACGAACAGCATGTATCTCATATGCAAAAGAAGATAAATGACACGATCGCTAAGAATAAAGAGCTATATGAAATCAATCCTCCAGTAAGTAAACTAAGTCTACATTGTGACTATATCAGTTATTGTGTAGCTGTTAATATATTTTTTAGGTTATCTTACTTTGGACCTTAAAGACTTTTTCCACTGTTTAGATATGTTCTCCTCATTACTCATTCTTTTCCCTCCCTTTACATCTATGCTCAAATGTCTTCTTTTTAGGGAGGCTCACTCTGACTATTTAAGAATTGTAACTCTCCCATTAATTTTTGGTACTTCCTATCCCCCTTTCTTATCTATTATTTGTTACTGCCAGTAGAATCAAGCTTTATCAGGACTGTATCCCTAATGCCTAGAACAGTTCCTTCTGGTATTTTTTAAATAAATACTTATTGAATAGTTAAATAGCTTAAAGTCTTCTCTCTCTCTCTCTCTCAACAAAAAGAAAGATTGCTTACCTATGGTAAAGTGTGAAAGAATAGAGATTTTTTTAGTTTGGCATTTTTCTTACAATTTTCCTACCAGTCATTTCCATAGTCAGTCTTTTCACCAGCTTTGCAATTGGTATCACAATGCTTCCTACTCTACCGATGTCCTATAGCTTTAACCTGAATTGAAAGATATGTTGAAGTAGGAATGAAACTATTTGCTTTTATAAGTCTCTGATAATGAAATACTTCTATAAAAGGTAAGTGTTTGGATAACATTATTTTTATTACTTTATTTTATATATGCTACTGAATTTTGGTTGGTCTTCTGGAACAGTACATCTGAATTCCAGCTTCAAACTAACAGCTTTCTAGCAAAGTTATTAAGCTGGTAGGAATTTTAAGGACATGACTAGAGTTACACAGTTCAGTGTGGTAGACACGGTCACATGTGGCTGTTAAGCACTTGACATGTGGCTAGTCTGAATTGAGATGTGGTATTGGTGTAAAATATACCAGTACACTGGATTTTGAAGACTTAATAAATGAAAAAGAACGTAAAATACCTTTTGGATTCTTTTTATATTGATTACATGTTTCATTTGTATCTTTTTTATATTATTACCTATGAAGCTTGCTTTATATTTCTATTGAGCAGTGTTGATATAGTTTCTTTAAATTCATTGAAAACGTTAACGTGTTAATATATTTACTTACATAGCCTTTGTAAAAGCTTTCTGCAAAACGCTTTATTGACTGCTTGTTTGCTGTAATTTTTCTTTTATAAGTATGTTTTGATATTTAAACATCTACTAGCAGTGTTTATTCCTGTTGGGAAGAATGATTTGCAAAGACATATGTTAGGATTCCATATATGAATTGTAATGATATGAACTGAACTTTCATGTAACAGTGTTTATCAACTCTACTTCCATCCTGACCTCCCTCAGGACCTACCTCTTCCATTGTGTTTCTATTGTACCTGTATTTGCTCTGTCATGGCGCCTGTTACATTTTAGTGCACTCAGTTTTACATGTCTCTCTTCCTTTACTATAATAAAAGCCCCTTGAAGACAGAGACCTATTTAGAGAATGTGGATTAAGTTACTTTATTCAATAAATATTTATGAGCTACTGTTTAGTACTGCATCTTAGAGGAGGGAATAAATCTTTCTTTTTAAAATGTTTTTATTGATTTTTTTAGAGAGAGAGGAAGGGAGAGGGATAGACAGATAGAATCATCGATGAAAGAAAAACATCGATCGGCTGCCTCATGCATGCCCCCTACTGGGCATCAAACCTGCAACCTGAGCATGTACTCTGACCAGGAATCGACTGGGGACCTCTTGGTTCATGGGTCGATGCTCAACAACTGAGCCACGCCGGCTGGGCGGGAATAAATCTTTTGTGAATTTAAAAACTTCAGCATATATGGATTTCATATGTTGAATATGACTGTATTTTTACAAAAGGATTAATCAATTTATGAGTATTCTATGGCTTTCCTTATTTCAGTATTTATTACATTCTGGTCTTTTAGCTTAACCTATCAGAATTTGTTTGAAAAAGTCAGTGTACAAGGCCACTACTCATATTACAGTTTTGTGTTTTCAATTTTCTAAAACAATCTATGCCCACCCTGAAAATGTGGGTCAGTGTTCCGTATCTTAGAAAGGTAGCCCCAGCTGAAGTGAGTGCTACTGTTTAATTTTTTTCTCAATACCTTGAGAAACTTTTTAAAAATTTATTTATTAATTTGATTGGGGTAACATTGGTCAGCATGAACATACAGGTTTCATGTGTGGATTTCTATGTTACAAGATCTGTGTATTGCACCGTGTGCTCACCACCCAAGTCAAATCTCCTGTCACCTCATATTAGGACCCCCTTCTGCCCCCAACCCCTTCCCTCTGGTTGTTTGTGCTCACAAATTTCAGTTTTATATCCCACATATTACTGAAATCATAGGGTTCTTTTTCTGTCTTACTTATTTCACTTAGCATAATGTTCTCAAGGTCCATCCCTGTTGCTAAGAAAAATATTTCTTATGCAAAGGTGTAGTACCACTTAACTGGAAATAACTAAGTCAGCCAGAGTATCAAAATTAGGTGCAAAACTTTTATTGGGAATTAACAGCACCAGTGGTAAAACCTCATGAATCTAAGATATATTCAATTTTAGATAGTTACATTTATTTCATCCATGTTACAATAAAGAGAGGCATAACTGAATTTTAAACTACTTTAAAATTATAAAATGAAGGATAGTTTCAATATTGCATTCAGGGTCAAAAGAACTGACCCTGACAAGTTCATCACTTACTAGTTTGCAAACCCAGGCAAACTACTCTACTACTGAACTGCGCCTCTTTCTCATTTTGTATTCATTATAATAGGCACCCTGTCAGATTTATATAGGGCAGGTTAATTTGGAGTACAAGCAAAATAAATGGATGTGAAAGTACTGCATAGATAGCCGTGTTATGAAACTGTGGTGGTAGTCTTACGTAACCTATGCGCTAGCTATGAACATTTAAAATTAGTCTTTTGAAAAGCTTTTTCTTATAACTTCCTTGTTTTCTTGGGTTTTTTTTTTTTAAAAGATGGGTCTGTTATACTAATAATAAGCTATGTCTTTTGCATTTGTGCTCACATGTCCACATTCTCCTGATAAGTTGCCAACAGATACTTAGAACCTCTGATTAGCTAATATTTGGCTATGTAATAGGAAAAAGCTGATTAAACCATACAGGATTGCACCTTACACTGACCTCAAAAAGATCATTACTGTAACTACCAAAGTTTATTTAGCTTAATAAATAGTAAAGCAAATACATGTGTAATATGTGCACTACATATACATACACACATACATCTATTATATTCCTCATTTAACTGTGTGGAGCTATGAAAAATTACCACTGGATAAGAAAGGTATAAAGAGTAGAATCATAGTTAGGAACACAAATCTTTAATTCTTTTAGGACTTTTAAATGCTGTGCAGAAAATACCTTCTAAGCTGGAAGGACTGCCAGTTCCCTACTCATTGTAGTTTTCTCTCTGTACAGTAGATGTCAGTAATGCCTTGCCATGTCTATTTTTGAATTATACATACCTATAAAAAGTTAGTTATGAAATATACACTAAATATTTTTTGTAGACTCCCCCCAAAGGTAATTGTCTGTTATTATAAAAATTTAAAACCAAACTAAAGTATGCAAATATCAAATCATTGTGTTATACACCTGAAACTAATATGTTATACGTCAATTATACCTCAATTTAAAAAAAAGAAAAAACTGAAAATTATGGTCTTTTGTAATATAAAGCAATTATACATATTTTTTAGGAGATATCTGAAGAGATTATAGGATCACCCATCCCAGAACCTCGACAACGTTCAAGACTCTTAAGATCTCAATCAGAAAGTTCTGATGAAGTTACAGAATTGGACCTTTCACATGGGAAAAAAGATGCTTTTGTTTTGGAGGTATTATTGCATTGGATTAATTTCTTAAAGTTTTTAGATGTGTAATTTTACAATCATACTTGATGTGATTCTTTTGTATCATTACAACTGTTATAAATATAAAAAATATAATATTTAAATATTACAATAAACTTGAGAATATCAGAACTTATTAATATATTTTTGTTCAATACCAGAAGACCGATAACAATAATGAAGGTGGTTCTGGAAAAATTTATGTATGGGTTGAAATAAAATTAAAGTAATATTAACTCTTGGAGCTATTTATTGTAAACTTGGATGAATTTAAATAAGAAATTAATGTGCTATTGTTTCACTTACTAGAATTCCCTGCTTTATATGTTGTAACATTTTACTTTAACATTTTTACGTGTAATAATATAGGCACTGTGAATCTGAATGTAGTGTTTTCTTATTGAATTCAGAGGATATCATTGAACTTTCATTATAAAAATATACTCAGAACTAGCTTTTCTGGAGGATAAATGTGGTACAAAAGGTTCAGGGAGCCTCCTCTCTCAACAAATCTGCTCCCCCTGCCTTCCTCTCTAGAACGGTTAGCTTTGAAAGAGATAGATTCCTTTGATATTGAAGGAAAGGAAAATAAATGAGGATGCTCATAAATGTCCTGATAAGAGAAAGTCAGGTGCCTTGATCTCAGTGAAGCAGGAAGCTGACGGTAGAATTGTATTGGAATGGGATTGGAGTTCTGAATAGTCTAGAACAGTGCCTGTGAATGTGATCAGGATGTCAGCCATGGGAAGTGCACAAGGCTTAACTGAGGTAAGAGTATTAATTTGTAGAAAACTCAATCTGTATGGATTTGTGCTTTTTTCTCATCTTTTTTTACGGTCTGAGAATGGAAAAATCATGGGAGTTGGTAAAGAATATGTCAGGTTAAGGAGGTAAAAGGATCCAGGGTACTGGTTAGAGCAGTGCTACTCAAAGTGGGCTGTGACTACCTATAGTGTTAGCACCTTCTGGAAGTTTGTAAGAAATACAAATTCTGGGGCTTACTTCAGACTTTGTAAATGAAAATTTCATGGTGGGGCCAAGGAATCTGTTTAACAAACTCTCCAGGTGAGTCTTAGCATTACCTGAAGTTTGATCTAGCAATGGTTCTCAACCTTCTGGCCCTTTAAATACAGTTCCTCATGTTGTGACCCAACCATAAAATTATTTTCATTGCTACTTCATAACTATAATGTTGCTACTGTTATGAATCGTAATGTAAATATCTGATATGCAGGATGGTCTTAGGCGATCCCTGTGAAAGGGTCATTTGACCGCTGCAGGGTTCACGACCCACAGGTTGAGAACCACTGATCTAGAGCAACATTGATACTTCTCATCCTGGGATCCTGACTAAGTAATGAACAGAAGTGCTTCAAATGTGGGCAGAAGATGTGGGACAAGGTGCAGATTCAGTAAGAGAAAGGGCAAAAGGATAGGGGATTGTAGTTGGAGAATGCTTGAATCTGGGTGTGGAATGGTTTGGGGAACAGTGTTGAGGTATAGCCATGACCATGGTAGTTAAGGTAAAGTGGGAGTGAAGGTGGTTCTGGAAGTCACAGGGGTGATGTGAATGAAAGCATAGAGTGTGTGAGGCAGGACTTAGACCCCTGATGTACAGATGAATTCAGTATATGTCTAGTTGCATAGTTTCACTCTTTATTATTCACAATGGAATACTGTGATATAAGAAAAATAGGATTTAGACCTAATTTGTTAGGCATGCCTTTAAATTTATCCCTACGTAATTTTATTTTAAAACAATTGTGTATTTAGTCAAAATTCTGTTTTTTTTAATTGCACTATATTTATTTACAAATAGAGATAATTTTTGCTTATGGTATCTTCTTTTGAAACATGCCCTCCTAAAGGATTAAGAAAAGGCTCGTTAAAAGAAAAAATTAATTATACTTAAAAATTATTTCACTTGAAAGTATTTATAATTATTACTGTGGAGAAATATACCGATATTTGAAAAGAATTTCTTTCAAGTTTTATATTTTAATTTAGGGAAAAGGTTCTTTTTTGACTCTTAAGTTTTTTATTTAGTAAAAAAAATTTTTAAAATTGAAAATGATTATATATTTACTACTTATGTAATAGTTGAAATCTTTCTATTTTCAGATTGATGACACAGATGCTATGGAAGATGTACATTCTCTCCTTACTGATGTTCCTCCTCCTTCAGGTAAACTGAAAAAATTACCTTTGAGATGCGACTGTCCTTTTTTTTTGCACATCAGTATTTTAGTTCATAATTATTATGGTACTAACTTTATTTTAGAGGCTTTATCAATGTCACACCTTGTTATGTGCTTTGCTGCTCCAAGGCGGAAAACAGGTTTAAAATACTTATGTTAGAACTTAGATGAAATGATTTTTAATCCTTTTAAGATTACACATTTTTTAAAAAGTAATAATTTATTAAGATGGTCTAACATTTTAGAAAAGAATGAATGGTTCTTATAGTCAGAATGTCATGTAATAATTGAAACAGGTTATTCTTAACATAAAAATAAGTGAAATATCATATTTTAACTATAATTTATTTTGACAGGCTTTTATAGTTGTAATACAGAAATTATGCCTGGCATAAATAATTGGACATCTGAAATACAGGTGAATCTTTCATTTTTAATTTTAAATAAATACAACATAAGTGATCTTAGCATGTTCCTTCTTAATATATGTTTTCTTTTTCACCTCCTTATTGCAATTAAAATGTTACCCTTTTTCATACCACATTAGTTATTATTGTTCATTATTAGCAGTTTTATTGTTATAGTGATTAGTTAAAGTAATAAAATGCCATACTATCATATCTCCCCATATTTAGATGTTCACATCAGTAAGAGTAATCCGATTAAGCAGTCTTAACCTGACTAATCAAGCCCTCAATAAGAACTTTAATGATCTCTGTGAAAATTTGCTCAAGGTATGTACCTTCTGACTAACTATATTTTAGTTAAAACTCCTAAGAATCATGAAATTGAAAATGTGTACATATTGTTTGGAATACCTTACACAGTTATGGGCTGAATTATTTTTGTTTACATATCAACTTAGCTCTGCCATCAGATAAAATGCTAAAGTTGTCCTATCTATCTGAATATACCATACTATAAAAGAAATATATTTTAAGTTATCTCATAGCTTTAAACTTCATAAAAATCTGTTGTGTGTATGTAAATTTAAAATACCTTTTTCTTATATTATTTTTTATGACATCGATAGATATGATTAAACCTTATTGTCTGCCATAATATTGAAAACTAGAGGCCTGGTGCATGAAATTCATGAACTGGAGTGTGTGGGGCCCCTCAGCCAAGCCTGTACCCTCTCACAGTTCGGGAGCCCCATGATCAATCACCCTCAGAGGGAGGCCCTGCCCACCCTGCCAGGGCTCCGCAATGGATGGCCCCGCAGAGGAGGCCCAGGCTACCCGCTGCAGCACCACTGGCTGGGTAGCCTGGGCCTCCCTTTTTGGGGCAATTGATCACGGGGCTCCGTGATGGATCACCCCAAAGAGGTAGGCCCTGTCAACCCAGCCAGAGCTACACGATGGATCGCCCCCACAGAGAGAGGCCCTGTCTACCCACCACAGCGCCACCACGGGGTAGCCTGGGCCTCTCTCTTTGGGGTGATTGATCACACCCCACAAAGGGAGGCTCTGCCCACCCACCACAGCCTGCCAGTTGGTGGCCTGGGCCTCCCTCTTTGGGGCAATTGTGGAGCCCCCCAATTGATCGCCCTGCCAGCTGGTGGCCTGGGTCTGCCTCTGTGGGGTGATCATGGGGTAATGGCTGCGCCCCTGACCAATCATATCAACCTGCCTTGGCTGGCCTGGCACTAGTGGGTGTCATAGTGTGGCCATCCGGATGGTCGTTCCGCTGATCGGCCGTTTGGTCAATTTGCATATTATGTTTTTATTATTATAGACTAGAGGCCCTATGCACGAAACTCATGCAAGGGCCTTGGCCCCGGCCCCCGCCCGCCTCCACGGCCCCCGCCTACTGTGGCTTTGTCCAGAAGGAAGGACGTCTGGTCTAAGTAGCATATTTCACTTTTATTATTATAGATGGATTCTTAATGTAAGGATAAACAACACAGAATTGGACCAGCTTTGTTTTAATCCTTTAAACTTTCTATTTGCCATAATATAATGTGCATTAAAATGTCAGTTTTTGTAAATTTTTAAATGAAAAGAAATGACATTGCTAATATTTTCTCTTGTATAGAGCCTGTATTTTAAACTACGGTCTATGATCCCTTGCTGCCTTTGCCATGTAAATTTTACAGTATCTCTTCCTGAAGATGAATTAATTCAGGTAATTAAGATTCAGTCTATTATTAAAGAAGATGTCTAGCTTTTATCTGATCTCTTATAATATTATAAATATGCCATAATTAAATAACTGTAACCTGTTTTATTTAAAATATTTTGAAACATATAATATGAAACAGACTGTGTATATTTTATTTTCCTGAACTCTGCTTATCTGAAGGTGGAATCACATACAATTGTGCTCCAGCATACATACAATAGGATTTGTACTTATATACAGTTTCTCCAGTCCCCATCTATTAGACAAAGTTCGTGAGCTCTTTCTGGAATATCTATGTTTAGGTGTACATGTTGGGCTTAGTTATAGTTTAAATATCTGAGCTGATGTATAATTCTCTGAGAATTTTAACCAGAATTATAACTGGGAATTGTAACTGAGAATCTTAACCAGGAAAGGCAAATTAGCCAATTAGTGTTAAGTTGTTCCATGGTACTGAGTAATAAGTGTAAGAAACTTATTTTGACAATGATTATTTTGCTAATCTTACTCTTTCTGTGATTCTAGGTTACAGTCACAGCCGTTGCAATAACTTTTGACAAAAATCAGGCTTTACAGACAACAAAAACACAGGTTGAAAAGTCATTGCAAAGAGGTAAATCTATGATGAGTGGGATCATAGTTCATGTTTGTCTACATTATAATTTAGTTATAAAATATAGAGGATAGTAGATTAAATAAATGAATTGTTTCTTGAAGAGAATCTGCCACTTTTTGTTTATCTTTATCAAAGTAACGGTGTGGATAAGCATATGGCTGATTTGATACTTTTTATACATGAATAGGTGGTGGACTGGTATTTACATAGAGATACTGTCATTTTATAGATTTAAATTGTAGCATATTAATTCTGCAGTAACTTAGAGGTCCCTATCCTAGTAGCTCTAAGGAGGTCCTCAAGGCATTTGAGAAACTACTGATGTAGTAAGCATCACGTGTTTCTTAGGAAAAGTCCCATAGTAGTCAGCAGATTCTCAGAGTTGTCATTTACCCAGTAAAATTTAGAAAGTATCATTCTTTTTTGTTTTGTTAGGTGTTAAAAGTAAGATTTTGTTTTCTTATTTATTTATTTATTTATTTATTTATTTATTTACTTTTATTAAAATATATTTTATTGATTTTTTACAGAGAGGAAGGGAGAGAGATAGAGAGTTAGAAACATCGATCAGCTGCCTCCTGCACATCTCCTACTGGGGATATGCCCGCAATCCAGGTACATGCCCTTGGCCGGAATCGAACCTGGGACCTTTCAGTCCGCAGGCCGACGCTCTATCCACTGAGCCAAACCGGTTTCGGCTTCTTATTTATTTTTTAAAAAATATGTTTTTATTGATTTTACAGAGGAGGGCAGAGGGAGCGAGAAATAGAAACATCAATGATGAGAGAATCATTGATTGGCTGCCTCATGCATGCCCCCTACTAGCGATCAAGCCCACAACCAGGGCATGTGCCCTGACCAGGAATCAAACTGTGGCCTCCTGGTCCATGGGTTGACGCTCAACCATTGAGCCACACCGGCCCATCATATTTTGACAGTATTTCAGATGTCTCCCATTTTCTCCCTTTTTGCTCCTCTCCACCCAACTCCCACCCTACGTCAGGCTGTCCCTATACTGTTGTCTATTCCATAGGTTATGCATTATTGCATATATATTCTTTGGTTAATCTCTTCCTGTCCCACCTCCCAACCCCCACTGAGGTCTGTTATTCTGTTCCATGCATCTATACCTCTGGACCTATTTCGTTCATTAGATTCCACATGTAAGTGAGATCATGTGATATTTGCCTTTCTTTACCTGGCTTATTTAGCTTAACATAGTAGTCTCCAGGTCCATCCATGCTATCTCAAAGGGTAAGAGATCCTTCTTTTTTACTGCTGCATAGTATTCCATGGTGTAAATGTACCACAGTTTTTTTTTATCCCTTCATCTACTGATGGGCACTTAGGCTGTTTCCAGATAACACTGCTATGAACATAGGGATGCTTACATTCTTTTTGATTGGTGTTTCAGGATTCTTAGGATATATTCCTAGAAGTGGATCGCTGTGTCAAAAGGCAGTTTCACCTTTAATTTTTTGAGGAAACTCCACACTGTTCTCCACAGTGGCTACACCAGTTTGCATTCCCACCAGCAGTGTACTAGGGTTCCCCTCTCTCATCATCCTCGCCAGCACTTGTTGTTTGTTGATTTATTGATGGTAGCTATTCTGGCAGGTGTGAGGTGATACCTCATTGGAGTTTTAATTTACATCTCTCTGATGATTAGTGATGTTGAACTTTTTTTATGTGTTTATTGGCCATCTGTATGTCCTCTTTGTAGAAGTGTCTATTCAGGTCTTTTGTCCATTTTTAATTGAATTATTTGTCTTTCTGGTGTTGAGTTGTATGAGTTCTTTGTATAATTTGGAAATTAATCCTGTATCAGATGTATCATTGGTGAATATGTTTTCTCATACAGTAGTTTCCCTTTTCATTTTGTTGATAGTTTCTTTTGCTGTGCAGAAGCTTTTTGTTTTGATGTAGTCCCATTTGTTAATTTTTTCCTTTGTTTCCCTCAGTGAAATTATTCTCAGTGAAAATATTGCTAAGTGAGATGTCTGAGATTTTACTGCCTATATTTCCTTCTAGGATTTTTATGGTTTTGTGACTTACATTTAAGTCTTTTATCTATTTTAAGTTTATTCTTGTGTATGGTGTAAGTTGGTGGTCTAGTTTCATTTTTTGCATGTACCTGTTCAATTTTCCCAACACCATTTATTGAAAAGACTATCTTTACTCCATTGTATGCTCTTGCCTCCTTTGTCAAATACCAATTGACCATATTGGCGTGGGTCAAATTTCTGGGGTCTCTGTTCTGTTCCATTGGTCTATTTGTCTGTTTTTGTTCCAGTACCAGGCTGTTTTTTTTTTTAAAATCTTTATTGTTGAAATTATTACATATGTCCTCCTTTTCCCCCTCCCCCATTGACCTCTTCTAGCCTGCCTCCATCTCCCATCTCAGGCCTTCACCACCCTATTGTCTGTGTCCATGGGTTATGCATATATGTACTGGTATACAAGTTCTTTGGTTGATCTCCTCCTACCCACCCACCCTCCCCTGCCTTCCCTCTGAGATTCCATAGTCTGTTCCATGCTTCTATGTCTCTGGATCTATTTTGTTCATCAGTTTATTTTAACCCCTTATCAGACGTATCACTAGATTCCACATATGAGATCATCGTACCAGGCTGTTTTGATTACAGTGGTTTTGCAGTATAGTTTGATATCAAGTATTGTGATTCCTCCTATGTTATTCTTCTTTCTCAACATTGCTGTGGCTATTCAGGGTCTTTTTTGGTTCTGTATAAATTTTGGAATATTTGTTCTAGATCTGTGAAATATGTCGTTGGTATTTTAATTGGGATTTCATTGAATCTATAGATGGCTTTGGGTAGTATGGACATTTTAATGATGTTAATTCTTCAGTTCATGAACATGGTATATGCTTTTACTTGTTTGTATCTTCCTCTCTTTCCTTTTTCAGTGTTCTATGGTTTTCCGAGTATAGGACTTTTACCTTGTGGGTTAAGTTTATTCCCAGATACCTTATTTTTTGTTGCAATGGTAAATGGGATTTTTTTTCATTTCTCTTTCTGAGAGCTTATTATTGGTGTATAAAAATGCCATCTATTTCCAGGTATTAATTTTGTATCCTGCTACTTTGCCAAATTTACTTACTAAATCTAGCAATTTTTGGTAGAGTGTTTTAGAGTTTTCTATGTGCAATATATGTCATCTGCGAATAATGATAGTTTTACTTCCTCCTTTCCTATTTGGATACATTTTATTTCTTTTTTCTGTCTGATCTCTGTGGCCAGGACCCTCCAGTATTATGTTGAATAAGAGTGGTGAAAACAGACATCTCTGTCTTGCTCCTGATCTTAAGGGAAATGCTTTTAGTTTTTGCCCATTGAGTATGATGTTAGCTGTAGGTTTGTCATATATGACCTTTATTATGTTGAGTTATGATCCCTCTATCCCACTTTCCTGAGAGTTTTTATCAAAAATGGGTGCTGGATTTTCTCTAATGCTTTTTCTGTGTGTATTGATATGATCATGATTTTTATCCTTCATTTTGTTTATGTGGTATATCACATTATTGATTTGTGAATATTGAACCATCTTTGCATTCCTGAAATAGATCCCACTTGGTCATGGTGTATGATTTTTTTTAATGTATTGATGGGTTCTATTTGCTCCTATTTTGTTGAGGATTTTAGCATCCACATTCATGAGGGATTTTGGCCTATAATTTTCTTTGTTTGTAGTGTCTTTATATGGTTTTGGAATTAGGATAATGCTAGCCTCATAAAAAGAGCTTGGAAGTCTTCCCTCCTCTTAAATTTTTTGGAAGATTTTGAGGAGGATAGGTGTTAATTTGTCTTTGAATGTTTGGTAAAACTCACCTGTGAAGCCACTGGGTCCAGGGCTTTTGTTTGCTGGGAGTTTTTTGATTACTGCTTCAATTTCATTAGTTGTTATTGGCCTATTCAGGTTTTCTGATTCTTCCTGATTACATTTTGGCAGATTGTACATAGGGTTTGTCTATTTCTCCTAGGTTGCCCACTTTGTTGGCATATTGATGTTCAAAGTATTTTCTTACAATCTGTTATACCAGATTCTTAATTTTAAAAAATTAATAGTAGGTTATTACTAAATAATTAGTGTTTTTCTTGCTTCCTAAGCCTCTACAGATAATGAAGAACTTCTGCAGTTTCCACTGGAACTCTGTTCAGATTCACTTCCTTCTCATCCTTTTCCACCAGCTAAAGGTTGGTTAAATAAGGGAAATGCAAACCCAAATCCTAGTTTCTGGTGTTTTTTACTTGCTTCATTATTGTAGATAATCTTACTGAATCTTGAGATGAAGATTTATTCTTCATTTCTTCATTGTTATGTTCATATTCATAAAGGGGGGGAGTAATATTCTCATTTTAATTTCTCAAGTAATATCAGCACATATTATTAAGGTAATTTTTCATATGAGACTCCATTTTTATTTATCAAATGTATTAAAGTTTTATTTTCAGATATTTGGATTTCCCATAGTGATTTATTTGATATATTTGAAATTTATATTACATTTGGTAATTTTTTTCAGCAACAGTTAAACCTTTACAAAAATATTCATTTTGAAAATGACAACAAACTACTTATTTTCTCCAGAGGTATTTGGAGAGGTTTTGGGTGGCAGCAGTAATGTGAGAAAGGAATGTGTTTTTTGTCTCTTTTAGGTATCTTGGGTACAATTAAGGAACATTTTTAGGTACTTACAAGATGCTGCCATTTTTTCAAATACAAAATGATCATCTCTTAATAACAGTACATCTACTTTGATCTAATACTCTTTGGAGAAAATGGTAGTTTTTTATTTCATTTTTCTTCTGATTTCAGTGCAATTTTTATTATAAAATTTATAGAATTATTGTACTTTACTTCATAGCATTACATATATAATAAATGTAGTTTGTGTTTTTTCTAAATGTTTTATTCTGAAAAATGGTACATCTGTTATTTAAAAATTCATATTGACTTTTCTGATTTTTATATTTTATAATACAAGTGAAATAATTTCATGATTTCTTCTTGTCAGGTATATTATCTGACAAATTAGATGTAATACAGAATAGTTTTATACTCACATTGCATGTATATTAATAATCTTTACTAAATCAGTGCAAAGCCTGTCCATATAGATAAGTAGATCCCATCTCTTATTTTGGAGATGAAAAGATGAGGTACTTTCAAATTCGGAACTTTCTGACATGGTAACTGTGGTCCTTTTTTCTTTTTATCTAAATTAAAATTCTAATTTAGAACTCCATGGAGAATTTTTGCATACTTCCTTAAAAGAATAGAGAGGAAAAATCAAATCCAAAGATAATCTGAGTTCAGCTTTATAAAATAAATATAGCTTCCAGAATAAAAAGTAGAACTGTTAAGAATCTCCCTTGAACTAACTAGACAGGATTTTTTTTAATGCCTACTTTATACAGAAATGTGTATTTAATGCAGGGTTAGTTCCAAACTACTTTTAGGGATCATTTTTATTCATCCTTACCCTGAAATGTTGGGGGGTGGCGGGGGGGAGAAACAAAATAAAAAACTAATTAACAGAAAAGATTTTATCAATTGCTAATCTATTGGAATATGTGTTCTTGGGGTTCCTGTTACCAGTAGCTGTATTTTACCATGTTAATAGCTACTGAGTTCTGCAGATCAAATTTAAAGTCTTAAGTTTGCTTTATCTGTGTTGATAACACAGTATCTGCAGTCGCTTTCAAAGGTAATTATAACTAGTATTTCTTGTCATTAGTATATTTTTTGTAAATTATACTGTGTGAACTGAAGAATGAGGAAAGAAGAATTTGAGTGGAATAAGTAATATCTGAACAATACCTAAAGTATTTGCAATTCAATTTAAGGAGTGTAGAGAAGGGCCATGGGTGGAGTAATAAAGCAACAGATCTCTTCTCAGTTCTGCTACTCAGAAGAAGTGTGAGACTTGAGGCCAACTTACTAGTAAACCTCAATTCCTCATCTGTAAAATGTGAAAGGATTAAAGTTCCCTCTAGCCTTTAAAATTCTCCAATTCCCTGGGTTTCTGTAGTTTGTGTTTCTTTAATTATTAACACATTCCCATTACTAAAAACAAATCAAAAGCTAAATTATGCCTATGGTCACACTGAACTTAAAATTTTCCAAATAGCTTCTAATTAGTTAAACCAATAATTTTAAAACCATAGTGTTTCTTCGGAGGTGCCTCATGACTTCCCAGGAGGCAGGGTGGGAAGGGAGGGAGCTGAAAGGGTTGGGGATGTGAGGGGTAGGTCTCTGGACCCCCTACCCTACCTTTGAACTTAGAGCAGCTTCGATTCAGTGTGTTTTTGCGTATCTGCTTTCTACATGTGATTTTGTTTGAAGAAAGGGTTTCAAAGTTGGGAAATAATGGAATCAGATCATTTCACCTTTATTATCATTGTCATCATCATGTTCATAATGATCAACATCATCACAACCAGTACTAATATGTACAAAACTTTTTATACTAAGTGCTTAACTGAAAAACCTGTGTGCTTTTCCATGAATATTGCATTTCAAAATCATCAGTAAGCACTAAAAAGTTTATCTGTATCTGTTGTAAACAGTTTTGTAAATTGTGGTTTATGTTGCATGCTTATTTATTGTCTTTGCTCCCTCAAAGTCTTTTTAGGAGAACATGGGCTATACCAAATATATTTGAAAAAGTTATTTTAAAGAAAGTATTTTCGAAGATTAGAGGATAGGGTGAGTTTTGTAAAGGTCCTAAAAATGTTATAATAGAGTGTTATAACATGAATGTAGCAACTGGACATTATAACATGAAGAAAGGCTTTGAGTAGAGAATAGAAATATCTGGAAAAAATTAAACATAACAATTCAGAGGAAACAGGCAGGAGAGGGCAAGGTAAGAGTGCTAGGAATAAATGTTCAAAAATGTCTCTACTTAAAAAAAATATTTTTTTTATTGATTTCAGAGAGGAAAGGAGAGATAGAAACATCAATGATGATAGAGAATTAATCATTGATTGGCTGCCTCCTGCATGCCGCACACTGGGGACCGAGCCCCTACCTGGGCATGTGCTCTGACTGGGAATCAGGAATCGAACCGTGACCTCCAGGCTCATAGGTCAACGCTAAACCACTGAGCTACATGAGTTAGGTTCTTCTCTACTTTTTATATGCAACCCAAAGAGGCTTAAAAGTAAATTACTAATACTGAGAAGTAAATAAATATATAGTTTTTATAGTTTTGTTAGTTCGGTTAGCTAAGCTGATGGAGCTTTTCTTTTTTTAATTCTGAAAATTTTGGATTCTAATTTATTCTTCATGTTCTTATCACAAATAGGATAATTTGTTAAAATGTTCATTTCCTTTTATGTTGACAGAGTAGTTTTAAGAGCTAAGTTAAGCACAGTATGTTTATTAATGCTTCCATCTTTTCACTTGTAGATAAACCTTTTCTTATCCTTTCATGTTATTGGAAATGAGTGACTATTATGTGAAGAAAAGATGCTTCAATTATTTGTATCCTAATTCTGTGTATAGAGTAAGCCTGGGCCTGAATTGTCCATCCATGTTCAATTTTTTTTCTTTCATCTTTTGTTATATTTCATTTTGTTTCTCAAGGTAACAAAATAGTTTGAAGTATGTCTCAAATTTATCGTTGACTTGATGTTACCTTGCTAGTTATCTTGATTTTTCAGATTTGAAATATTAAAAGGTGCTGAGCTGAAATAATTTCTTAAAGGACATTGTCATGTGAAGGTCATCCAAATATTTTGATACTATGAGGATCATAGATGATGTGGCATTGACATAAATTATTTTCACATGAAGCTGTTTTATGAGAAAAAAGATGGCTATAGTGAATTTTTATGCCACTTTCATAGTGTTTTTCCTAACTATTAATATCTAGGCTTCAGTTTTTCTCGAAATAGTTTCAAGAGACTTATAAAATGATATATATAGGAAAAAAGGGATCAAATATAGTAAAAATGGAGACTCTGAGTGAATATAATTTGTGTGCAAAGTAAAAAATAAGTTAGTAAGATTTTTCTCATAAACTGTAGTTGATCTCAAGAATTTTAAACATGTAATTTTCATAAAAGATTAGCATATTACTTTAGATGCATTTCTAAAGATATAAATCTTGAGATATTAGATACCATATTGTAGGGTTTAAGGACTTACATTCATGACAAAAGTGTATGAATTATATCCTATTATTAATAAATTTCAAATAATTTAAAAATCTAATCTATAATAGGATAGTTATTTTCATTAAAATTTTGAGAGTGTTAAGACTTTAAAGGTTTGATGAAGTCAATCCTAGTTTTTATACACTGTTGGATAAAACTGTATAGAGAAGTTTTTGTTGTTGTTGTTGTTGTTTTTTGGCTCCCTGTCGGGGAAACGAACCCCAGTCTCCCGCGTGACATAGAGAAGTTTTTATACCCACCTTGTTTCTGCTTTCATTTTGCTTTATGCCGGCGTGATTTCCTCATGCTCAGTGGCATAAGCTATATGCTGCCAAGATTACTCTTTTCATCAAGCAGCTGCTGACTAATGTGACAAGCTTAGGCCAAAATCTGGGTTTCAATATAAAAGAAAACAAGTTGGCTTATTCCTTTAATACGTTATACTCCATAATTAGGTATCCACATCAGAAGTTTTTTTTATCTTTACTTTTATTGTAGGCTTATAAGAGTTAGTTTTTCTTTTTGTTAAATCAAATTTGATTTTAAAAGATATCTTAATTTTTTAAATTTAATGACTTCCCTCACATTATTTTAAACTAGCTATTAGAAATATAAATCTATGAAACCTTTAAAGTTAGCTTTCATTTTTTTTCTGCCAACTAACTGTACTGAATTCTTACAAGTCTATATAATTCATTATACTAACTAAAATCCCTTTATATATTAACAACTCATTGCATGGCTGTTTTTCTCTCTCTCTCTTTAAAATATATTTTGTCACAATGACCAAATGGTATCAACAATATAAAGTTCTCCATGTTATTGATGACCACAACAATCCACGGGAGATTTTGAAAGGGAGAGATACCGAGGGAAAGGAGAATGAGAGGAAAATAGAAACTAAAGAGAGGAGAGTGTGTGGAAAACTTACCCACAAAATGGGAAGGAAGGAAGGAAAGAATTGATGGAGAAGTAGGGTTAAGGAATTTTAGCTTCTTTAAGGTAGCTTGAGGAGAGTAAAATCTGGAGTAGGTAGTAAAAAAAAAAAAAGCCAAGAAAAATTGAATTGAGTTACTGATGGAAAACGGATTATTTGGAAGAGACGATATAAAGGATGGAGAGGAGGAGTGGGTACCTGGTAATGGAGGCAGGAAACAATAGGTGGTTGACGGAGAAGCACAAGTGGTTTAGGAAGTTGTACACCTTCAGCTGGAAGCTTTAACAACCCAGATAGAGAAGCTGCTTGTCTTTGTCCTCTAGTGTATGTATTACCTTTATAACTGAAAAAATTTTTTCCCTTATGGACTGTCCAAATTGAAGGTCTATCTTTTTCTGTGCCTTAATTTTTAACTATACAGTGGGGCCTTGACTTACGAGTGTCCTAACGAGTTTTTCGAGATACAAGCCATCTCTCGGCCGATTTTTTGCTTTGAGTTGTGAGTTAAAATTCGGGTTATGAGCCAGCTTCAGATACCCCACTGCTAGTTGGCGCAGCGAACGTCACAGTGAACGCCACAACATCAGCCCAGCATCACGTGTCTCACTCGTTCACTTTAAGACTTGACATACGAGTAATTTGAGTTACGAGCTCCGTCACGGAACGAATTAAACTTGTAAGTCAAGGCCCCACTGTAATATGGCCATTTGATTACCAATCCACCAGTATTTGAATATAATTATGGACAAAGTTTATGCTGAATGTTCATATACATCCATTATCTAACTTGGATATTAATCCAGATTTTATAGTTATATGACTTAGCTAATCAGTGCATTATAGGTTGATGGAAATGCATAATCTGCCAGAGAACTTTTTCATAATTTGCAGGAATTTTTTCAGTTTTAGTAATTTGTCTCAAATATATTTTAATTATTAAGAGCAAAGATGCTCTGTGAATTCTAATGATATAAAGTGAGTAAGTGGTCAGAAGAGTTAGTGGTCAGTATAGAACTTTATCATAGTTAATCAACACCTTTGTCATTGGTATGACAGAGTATTTAGGAAAATAGGGAAGCCTCAACCTTTAGAGGCATTGGAACATGTATAATTGAGGGAGAAAGAATTCTTGCCACATTTTTTTCCTTTGTCATCATTTTGCTCATTTTCACTAAACTGCTTTTAACTTAGGTTAGTCCCCCTCCCCACACCATTAGGGCTTGGTAAATATTGCTAGAATGTACTAAGAGAATAAGAAAGCCATATGTGCTGTGTGCGTGCCATGCTAACTTTCTAGGGTTGTTTATTTGGGGATAATAGGGTTATCACTTGTGCTTTTTTAAAACAAAATAATCTTTTTCTTGTATTCAGTGGGAAAGGAAATCGTAAGAGAAGTAGGCTGCCATGTGGCTTGATTGAGACTCTCTTTACAGCTAGAATGGGGACCTAACATAAGTGTTTGTCTCAGACTCTTTCCCGTAGATACACAAATGGCCCACGCTAAGCATTGGTCCTCAACAAAGCCCGAATGACTTAAATAAGATTTCTTCCCCTATATATGAAGTGTTTTTGTTGTTGTTGTTGTTGTTTTTGTTTGTTTTTTTTTGTACTATTGGCATAGAGATTACGTATGCACTTTTAATTTCTTTTTAACCAAAATTACTAGTTTGTCAATGAGCCAGACAGCTTATATATGTAGTACCTTCTCTTCTGAAAAGCCTGTTGCCTGGGAAGGCAAATTGTAATCAGAAGGAGCAGTGTGACGGAGAGCCCAAGGTCATGAGCTATTGGAAGTAGTCAAACCAGTCCAAGGTGCTGTCAGAACCAGCTCACCTTGGGCTTTTTCTCGGAGAGAAAAAATTAAGGTCATAGCTAGCATATTAACAGATGAACCTGCTGTTCTTAAGTGAGATAAATCTTTTCACTCGCCCTTTCCCTGAAGAATGTCTCCAATTTTAAAACTGATTTTTTTTTCAGATTTTAATTCAAACAGATTCATATTTGAGGGCCAGGAATAAATATTTTCCCTCTTCCCTATCCTTTGTAAAATTTGATGGAAAAAGTAGTAAATTCACATGGTGGAAATTCAAATCCTACCAAAAAATCATATAGTCCAATAAAGCATTCATCTCCCTTCATTTCCCTTCCCAAGAGGAAACTACTACTCTTTAAATATGTTTTTATTGATTTCAGAGAGAGGAAGGGAGAGGGAAAGAGGAATAGAAACATCGATGATAGAAACATTATGGACTGGCTGCCTCCTGCATGCCCCCTTCTGGGGATTGAGCTCAGAAACCTGGGCATGTGCCCTAACTGGGAATTGATCTGTGACCTCTGGTTCATGGGTCGATGCTCAGCCAGTGAGCCACACCGGCCAGGCGGGGCAACTACTCTTAATAGCTTATTATCTGTCTTTGCAAATATATTTTTCTTTTTTAAAAACACAAATATACACATCATTGTATACCTTTGTGGTTTTTTTCCACTGGCTATAGTTAGAGATGGGAACAGATACTTTTTTTCTTTTTAAGACAAAGTTCTTTTTTTTTTAAATGTCTTTTTATTGATTTTTAGAGAGAGAGGACGGGAGAAGGATAGATAGAAACATAGAGAGAGAGCAACTCCATCGACTGCTTGCCTCCTGCATACCTGTACAGGTGACTGAGCCTGCAACCTGGGCATATGCCCTGACTGAGAATCAAACCATGACCTCTTGGTTCCTGGGATAGATGCTCAACTGCTGAGCCACACTGGCTGGGAGGGAACAGACACTTTTTACATTTAAGCTCTTTTTGTGGACATTTGCCTTTAAACATATATAGTTGGTACTGAGGAATCCCATATTACTCAGATAATATTGAGGTACAGAAGATAATTTCACTTTAGTGATTTTCACATTTTTTTTTAGCTTTCCTACATTTTAAAAACTTTCACAGAATTCCTAATTTTCTATAATTCTGTGCTCACCAAGGGCATATGAGAACCCTGGGACCCTCCTGGGACATGGAAGCCTGGGGTAGGTCTCTGGCTGTCCCAGCACTGGGTCTTGCTGTGCTGAGCTGTCCCTAGAGATCTAATCGGCCTCAAGATGTCAGCTCCGTCTGGCCGCCTTCCTGTAGATTCCGTCTCCTCCTGGGCTTCCAGTTCCCTCGGGATCCGGAATCCAGAGGACTCTCCCTGTCTGGATCTCCAGTCTGAGGCCATGATTATCAGGGCATGTCCACAGCATAGCACCCTCACAGGCATTTTGTGGACCCCACCTAGTGACCCTGTTTATTTATCAGCTCTCTATTGTAAGAGGAATGTCAGCCATTGTACACTCTCGGTATTAGCTGGTGGCCGCTTGACCTATAAAAATGGGGGAGGAGGGCGGCATGGGAGATACTTCCATTACACCCAATTATCAGAAACATTCTGTACAAATCTTACTTTTGGAAAATATAAATTTTATTAACTTAAGAATAGTACCAAAAGATTAACCCATTAGGCAGAGACAAAAAAATATTAGTTTATAAATTAAAAAAACCAACTGGCTGACCCAAATAATTCTCAGTATTTCTTATGGGTTATTTCTACTTGACAACACTATTCCTTCAATTATAAAATTCTTTGAAACAAAAATTCAAATGTGCGAGTGTGGAAACTGTGCGAATTGATTTTTAGAGAGAGAGGACGGGAGAAGGATAGATAGAAACATAGAGAGAGAGCAACTCCATCGACTGCTTGCCTCCTGCATACCTGTACAGGGGACTGAGCCTGCAACCTGGGCATATGCCCTGACTGAGAATCAAACCATGACCTCTTGGTTCCTGGGATAGATGCTCAACTGCTGAGCCACACTGGCTGGGAGGGAACAGACACTTTTTACATTTAAGCTCTTTTTGTGGACATTTGCCTTTAAACATATATAGTTGGTACTGAGGAATCCCTAAAAATTAGGCAGAGACAAAAATTAGGCAGAGACAAAAAAATATTAGTTTATAAATTAAAAAAACCAACTGGCTGACCCAAATAATTCTCAGTATTTCTTATGGGTTATTTCTACTTGACAACACTATTCCTTCAATTATAAAATTCTTTGAAACAAAAATTCAAATGTGCGAGTGTGGAAACTGTGCAAATTGATTTTTAGAGAGAGAGGACGGGAGAAGAATCTCTAAAAATTCAAACTGTGCGAACAGTAGAAATAGATGATTTTTAAAGTACTGTTTAAATTTGTACAATACCTTAAAAATCTATAAAAAATATAAAATATCAGAGAAAATTCTGAATGCTATTTTTATGAGGTACTGGAAAGGAAGTGATTGGGATTCCTGGTTATTTCTATGGAGAACAGTCACTTTTTCGTTCCACAAAGTCTTGATACCACCAGAGGAAGTTGCTGACAGTGATGTCCTCGAATGAAGGGGTTGGTGGTGAGGGGGAGGGTTATGGCTAGTAAGGAGCTTGTGTTTGTCTGTGAGACATCGGTCATTGCCTTGTCTGTAATTTTTAATATTACTAGCTCTTCCCCACACAAATGTTTCCCTTCCATATTTCATTTCAGATTTTCTTGCCAATTCATTGACCCTTTTCTCTGCTCAGTTTTCTTACATTCTGCTTTCATCCTATTTGTTACTGTGTTTATATTTTCTCATGCCTATGAAGTTTCTGAAACTCTTTCTGTGTTACACTAACAAGTAGTCTTCCTTGGCATGGTATTTATTAACTGAGCTAGTTTTCATATGCCAATAGAAATTGCATTAGAAATCTAAATACTTCTATTTGGTTTGCTTTTACAATGAAGCCATAAAGAGTTCCTCCTATTCTTCTGGCTTATAGAGAGTACTTACAAACAGCAAAGAAGAGAAACTGATTTATACTTAGCATCCAAGCTAATGTTGTTCATATTGTCTTATTAGAACACCTGGAGAGTGCAAGTTCTAACTCAGGTATACCAGCTGCACAGAGAGGTGAGTTCGTCTAATCAAATAGTCACCAAGGTGTGAAATTCTAGTGTGGTGGTGCATAAACATACAGACATTGGAAAAATGCACTGGACAGTGGAATTCAGACACCAAAATGTGGCTTTCTTGTAGTTAGAATGTGTCTCAAAAACATTAATAAAACTAATATTTTAAAAATTTAAAGCATTTTCATAGTTTTCCAGTTTCTAAAAATAAAAGTTTAGCTTTTTAATATATATATATATATATTTTTGCTCAGTAGTAGTAAAAGTTATTCTTTTAGAAGGAGAACTTGATAGGTTCACACCTGCCACCCTACCCTGTGTTATCAGCAGCTTTGTTGCCAAAAATCATACATGGAAAAGAGAATATGGACAGAAGCGATCCTTTGGCTTTCCTGTTACTCTTGGTAGAAAGAAGGTATTTTAATAAAAGATAAGTCAACGAGTGATTTTTTTCATCTATTCTTCAATATTTGACTCATTATTTTTTGTTTTGATTTTAAAGTAGACATAGAAGGCAATTATTCACAAAGTTTGGATTGCAAATTAAAGTCCTAAAGTATAAACAGCTAAAACATTGTAAAGTAAAAAGAATGGGGAGAAAGTTAGTTAAAACGTGGTATGTGGTCCTGATATTTCTGTTAAACCCCACTTCCATTTTCCCTAAGAGACAACTATGACATCACCAAAAATGCTCAGCCAGCTAACTGAGAAATTGGTTTTGGACAAATCAGTGTCTAAAGCTTGACTCTTTACTGTCTCTCTTATCTGACTTGAAAGGGACCATTCTTTTTCTGTATTACAGTTAAATTACGTCATCGGAAGGAGTGTTATGACGAGTAAGAGACGTCATACATATTTTTTCTTTTGTTTTCTGTCTGTGTTTCCAGCAACGTCAGTTGATTACAGTTCCTTTGCAGACAGATGCAGCAGCTGGATAGAGCTCATTAAACTGAAAGCTCAGACCATAAGGCGCGGATCAATTAAGACAAGTAGGCGGATGTTTCTACCACATTATGATCTGAGAAGCATATCCCTGATTTCCCAGTGGTGAAGGCTAGACTTTTCCACCCAGTAATAACATTGCGAATCAATCATGTGTTGGAGTGTGAAAGCTGCAGACTAATGGTCATTTAACAGAAGTTATTGAAGGGCCTTTAGATTTGTTGATTTTAACTGTAGAATTTTTTTTTAATTGCACTTTTTGTGAAGGTATTCTTAAAAGTATATAAATAGATATTATATTCTTCTAGTGGAAGGAAATTGTCAGCTCTCTTATTGAAGAGATACTATTCCAGGACCCAAGGTACGATCTAGCCCAGTGGTTCTCAACCTGTGGGTCGCAACCCCTTTGGGGGTCAAACGACCCTTTCACAGGGGTCGCCTAAGACCATCGGAAAACACATATATAATTACATATTGTTTTTGTGATTAATCACTATGCTTTATGTTCAATTTGTAACAATGAAATTGGGGGTCACCACAACATGAGGAACTGTATTAAAGGGTCGCGGCATTAGGAAGGTTGAGAACCACTGATCTAGCCTATGGCATGTGTCAGTTTACCAAGTGTGATATCCAGAGGGCTGAAAGAATGAGGTATTTTTAGAGAGAAAGTAAACTCTTATCTCACTGTTAGAATCAAGATCATCATATGCTCTTTATCTATACTCCATGTGTTTTGGTAGATTCTGAGGTAAATGTATTTGAGTGTCAGAGTTTATAGTACATTAATAGGGAAAGAACTATCTTTTAGAGGAAAGATCACAGGATATGGAGCCTGTTGATCTGGTTTTGAATCTTAGAAGTGCCATTTTAATAGCTGTGTGGCCTTGGGAAAGTTATTTAACTTCTCTGAGCCTCAGTTTCCTCATGTTGAAAATGGGGATAAAACCTAGGTTGCTGGGTTGTTGTAAGGATTAGATGTATATATGTGACTGGTTTATAATAGTTATTTGATAAGTGATAGCTATTATTATTTATATTTTATAACAATCAACTTTTAGATAGCCAAGGTCATTTCTAAGTTTTTAAAATTATGAGTTTGATCAAAATGGTTTGGAAAATAAACCTTTTACAACTAGTTAACAAGGTTTATCTACAAGTTGACAATGATGAAGTCATCTGAAAAAGTTGGAAAAAAAAACTGGGAAATATAACAACTTTCACACTCTTTGTAATAATTTGTTCCCACAGCAGATAATTTTTAATTGCTCTGCCGCTTTTTCTTTTTCTTCACTTTATAACGATCATTGTATGTATAGCTACACCGCATCAACATTTTCTTTTGCAGGAATGCCATTTTTCTTCCAAAAGAATTCCATTTCAGCATTTTCTCTTATGTGTTTCTTTCTCTTTCTCTTTAAATTGCATGCAGTGCATGATAATTTCTTGACTTTCATGACATGGCTTAGCCTCACAGACAGCTGAATGTTGTCACCACTTACTCGGAAACCTTGGGGGTGTAATTGAGTAACTGGCATCTGATCCTGGTGCTTTCTCTTCTTTCTCCAATTTTTAGCCGTGACAGTTGAAAAAGCAAGTCCAATGAATGAAGGAAATTTCCGGAATCGTTCTGCTCCACCTTGTGCAAATTCTACAGTTGGGGTTGTTAAGATGACACCTCTTTCTTTCATTCCTGGAGCAAAAATAACGAAATATCTTGGGATAATTAACATGTTTTTCATTCGGGAAACCACTTCTCTACGTGAGGTAATTTTATCGATGTTATTTCATTATTTTTGTGAATTTTCTATGATTGAAGATATTAGTGACAAAACCAAACAAGTTTCAATTTTTTTTTTTTGCCAAAAGTAACACATCTTCTCCCCCCCCCCCCCCATTCCCCCAATAACCTGTCTGGGTTGATTCTAGGTTAGACTTACCAAATTTCACACAGTAGTATTATCATAAGACTTATGAACAAAACAGATGGGGCCCCTGATGGAATTTACAGTCTAGTGAAACTGGAGCATGGTGGATATTAAACAAATACTTATGTGTTAGTAAGTAATATAAAGAAATATAATAGAGGCCATTAGAAAATATAACGGGGGAACTCACTTTAGATTTAGGGAGGGTATCTCTTAGGAAATTCCATTTCGGCCACGACCTAAAGAACTAGATACGAGTTATCCTGGTAGAAAATTGGGTAACGATCCTTAGAACCTTTAGGAGCAGCATATGTAAAGACCTGAGGCAGAGAAAGTGCTTGACACTTTTGAGAAACTGATAAAAGGTAAACATGAATAGAACATGGTTCAGAAGGGGAGATATGGCTAGCGGGGAGGTTTTATTGTTTATATTTATCATTAATTTATTTGAAGGAGGATGAGAACAATTTGATAGAGGGAGATGTTGAAGAGGGAGGAACAATTCTTGCTCTGCCATTTATTTACTAGTCATGTGATCATAGCTAGTCATGGGCACATTACAAATTCTTTGAGCTTCATCATCTTTAAAATAAGGAGAGTAATCCCTATCATAGATATGTGTTCAGTAAAGGTTTGTTCATTCATTCAACAAGTCCTCATGAAGGACATTAAAATAATCCATTATATTAAAATCATTGACGATGTTTTAATATATCTTCTTTGACATTTTATGTACATTTATTTATACAAGTACATAATTTGATTTTCCTGTGCTTTATTATGTAGGAAGGAGGAGTTAGTGGTTTTCTTCATGCTTTTGTCGCTGAGGTGTTTGCAATGGTGAGAGCTCATGTTGCTGCATTAGGAGGGAATGCTGTTGTCTCCTACATCATGAAGCAGTGTGTCTTCATGGAGAATCCAAATAAGAACCAGGTAAGAGGTAGTTAAAGACCTCTGACCGGGAAGCTGGGAATGTCCCCCATGGCCTTCCCACCTGCCACCCTCCCCTGTAAAAGAGATTTGCTCTTTATAAAGCTCTTTGATTCTCGATGCTTAGAACATGTTCTAAAGAATCTATATAATAAAAGCCTAAGCGACCGTTAAGGTAGAACGACCAGACGACTGGTCACTTTGGTGCACACTGACCACCATGGGGCAGATGCTCAACGCAGGAGCTGCCCCCTGGTGGTCAGTGCGCTCCCACAGGGGAGCACCGCCCAGCCAGAAGCCGTGCTCATGGCCCTGCTAGCGCAGCAGTGGTGGCGGGAGCCTCTCCCGCCCCGTGGCAGCGCTAAGGAGCAATGAGCTGAGTGGTAAGGAGCAGTGAGCAGGCGGGCAGTAAGGAGCAAGGGGTCCTGAACTGCGAGAGGGATCACAGACTGCGAGAGGGCGCAGACTGTGCTTCTGATTTACTACTTTTTTCATCATCATCTTGGTGGGTCTTTGGAATACAGTGTTGGCTAACTGAGGAGAGTTAAAAATGTCTCCTGATTGGCATGACTCAGTTGTTGAGCATCAACCTATGAACCAGGAGGTCACTGTTGGATTACCAGTCATGGCACAAGCCTGAGTTGCGGTCTTGATCCCCATTGTGGGGTGTGCAGGAGGCAGTCAATCAATGATTGTCTCTCATCACTGATGTTTCTATCTTTCTCTCCCTCTCCATTCCTCTCTGAAATCAATATATATATATATATATATATATATATATATATATATATTCAGAAAGCCCTCCTCTAGTTTGGATTATGGTGCCATCAGGTTCTCACTGCCATGCTGGTGAAAAGTACATCATAATGGGGCCACACTGCTTTGTTTCATTTTTAAATAAGTAAGGTAATTCTGTTAATGGGGGCTAAAGTGTACTGCTTAGGTTAAATTTTAGAATAAATTTCTTTTATCATTTTTGTTAAGATAACTCAAAATTGTTAGAGTCCTTTAAAAATTAAACAACTATAATGAATGTTTCTTTGAGTTTACTTTCTTATGAATTGCCTTCTTTGCTCATTTTTCTAGTGGGTTGTCTATCTTTTCTCTAATGAATGTGGTGCCCCTAAAGTAACAGACGAGTATGAGCATGTTGTTGAATTTGTGACTGAACATGTCCCGTTGTTCTTATAGGCACAGTGTCTTATAAATGTAAGTGGTGATGCAGTGGTTTTTGTCCATGAATCTGAATTAGAAGTAGTATCATCTCAGCCACCTACTGCCAACTGTCAGTCGTCGTGTCCTGGAGGAGACGTTACAACCTGAAGTAAATTAGAAAGAAAGAGTTCAGCTACGTGACATTTATCTGTCTCCATCATTTTGTCATTATCTTCCTAGACTTCTTAAAAAGTTGAATTTGATCTGAGATAATTCAAAAAGAATTGATACATTATGAGTAGATTTGATTTGTCTAGAATCTCTTGGAAGCATGGGAATTTTCTAACCTTGACATTTTGTTTGCCAAGCCTAGATAGACAGGCCCCATGGAATCTTGACCCTTGAGTAAGTTAAATTTCTCAGAGAACTGTAGGTGGATCATATTTGTAATTTTTGTTGATTTTAGTAAAATCATAATTTACAAAATGAAATGGGAAGATCATCAGGAAACTAAGATAGCTGCCCTAGTGTAACTTCAGAAAGTTAAGCAACAGATTCACAAATGATTAATGAAGAAATGGTCTGATTTGAGGGATGTGTGGGAAAATGGAGAAAAGTTTTCAGAAAATGATGTGGGTTTCTTAATGCATTTTATTTTGATGAGGAATTTGATCACAACTGAAGGGGAGCAGTGCTTCGGCCATCTTTTAAAAAGAAGTTCCAATTCCACTGCTTGTATCCATATGTCTTAGCTACTGGGAAAGAAGACAGAATATCAGTGCCTGTGTCCTTTTATTGAAAGTTTTAATGATATCTCTGAGGAAAGAGGAAAATAAATTACTATTTAACTTTATAAGTGTCCCATTTCAGTTGGTGCTTAATTTGTCTAGAAGAGGTTTGGCTTCACCAGGGAAAAAAAGGTCAGTGAATTTTGTTGAAATAGTTAAAATATAATTGATCTAATAGGAACATAAAATTATTTTCTAATAAAATAATAATGCACTTCTACCAAATAGAATTTTAGTAATGTCTTAGGGACTTTTGATGGTGAATTAGATTGTATTTGGCATAGAATTTGGAAATGTAACTTGAATGTAAATATGCTGCAAAATGTTGAATGTATACATAGGGATACTTTTTCTGTCAATGCCAAATACCTGTTTTAAATGAACCTTAAAAAGTACACTCTTCCTTTGCACAATCAAATTTCTTTATAAAACTCATGATTTTGCTCTTCCAGGATAACAAACTGCCCTAAAGATTAGGAGTCATTTTCTTGTTATCACAGGTGTCAATATTTTTCTGTATTTTGTTTATAATTTTTATTTTTAAATAAAATGTTTATAAAGATACTGGAATATTCCTTAAATCTCTTTTTTGCCTCCTGGATACACTACTGTCAGTAGTCTGGAGTCACTTGACATTTGATCATCTTCATTCATTCCTTCAGTCAATAAACATCTGTTGTTCATCTACTCTATGCAAAGCCCTGTTCTTAATTTTTGGGGAAAAAAAAATATATATATATATACACACACACACACACACACACACACACATATATATATATAATTGTGGCACTCTGTGTCTTTGGTAGGTAGGTATTCATTCAACAACTATTTATGAAGGCCTACAGATCCCAGGGCATAGTTTTATTTATTTATTTATTTTTTTAATATATTTTATTGATTTTTTTACAGAGAGGAAGGGAGAGAGATAGAGAGTTAGAAACATCGATGAGAGAGAAACATCGATCAGCTGCCTCCTGCACATCTCCTACTGGGGATGTGCCCGCAATCCAGGTACATGCCCTTCACCGGAATCGAACCTGGGACCTTTCAGTCTGCAGGCCGACGCTCTATCCACTGAGCCAAACCGGTTCCGGCAGGGCATAGTTTTAGACAGTGAAAAAACACACACCTAAGTTACTGCTCTCATGAAGCTTATTTTCATGAACTACACAAGAAAATAATTTATAAAATGTTGTTTATAGCCCTGTAATGATTGCTAATGTTTATTGAATGCTTACTACATGCCAGGCAATCTAATAAATATATTTTTGTGGTAAGCCTTTACAGAAACCTGATGAGGTAGATACTATTGGCAAGCCCCATTTTATAGTTGAGGCAGCTGAGAGTTTATGTGATACATCCAAGACACAATAAGTAGTGGAGCCAAGATTCAAGCACCAGCAACCTGACTCTGATACCTACACTATTAAGTGAGAAAATGTTTGGGATAAGGGTAGCTAGGTAGCTTCCCAAAGGAAATAATAATAATTAAGCTCAGTCTGGAAAAATAGGCAACTCACTGAAATTGACTGTTTATTCACCCACCCAACTACTTTATGATTGTATGTTTAAGAGCCCTTTCTAGGCAGGGGAATAATAAGAACTGCCACTAATTGAGTACCTGCTTTGTGTCATATCCTGTGCATACACATTATTCTAATTCTTAAAATATAAAACTAGCTGGGTGGCATTATTTCCATTTTGGTACGAACAATTGTATACTCAGCAGAGGCCCAGGCTGATTTCTAGGAAAGCCGGAGTTTCCTTAACCACTCAGGGTTTACAATCAGCTCACATGAAGATGGGCTCCTTCCAGAAAAGCTACTGTTACCTGTGTCTCAGGAGCTGCTCTTGTTTCCTTTTGTGTGGATTCTTGAGAGAGACATGATCATTTAAAGCAGATGTGCTGGGAATACAAGGCAGCTTACAATATTTACAGTGTACCTCATCTCATTCCTTCTTCATTGCTGCTCCAAAGGTAAACTACACAATCTCAATACTTTAAGTTTTCTACACTCACTGTCCCACTTCCTCCACCTCCTATTCTTTCATAATCCATGACCATCTGGCTTCCATCTCCTGATCTGACCCTGAATTTGAACATGCCAATGATACAAGTATTGGATTGCAGTATTGGATATCTGGCAAGGTCTTTTTATACATATACATAATTATTTTATACTTTTTTTTACAGTTTTTTTTAATCCTCACTCAAGGACTTGTTTTCCATTGATTTTTAAAGAGAGAGGGAGAGACAGAGAGAAACACCTAAGTGAGAGAGACACATCGATTGGTTGCCTCCTGCATGGTCCCAACCAGGGCAGGGAGCCTGCAACCGAGGTATGTGCCCTTGACCGGAATCATACCTGGGACCCTTCAGTCCGTGCGGGGGTCCAACCCCAGCGGGTCCAAGGGTTCCCAAAGGCGTAGATGGAGTCGGCAAAGAAGGAAGGACACGGAGACAGCGTTCAGTTGATCAGCAGCCTCGCCAGGATCTCTAGCCAGGATCTCCAGCCAAGTTCTGGTCTGGATTTCCAGAGAGGTTCTGCTTTGGATCTCCTGCCAGGTTCTGTGTCCATGTTCTCTTGCTAGGTTCTCCAGGTTCTCCAGCCAGGTTCTGTAGCCATGTTCCCTCGCTAGGTTCTCCAGCCGGGTTCTGTCCAGGTTCTCCAGCCAGGTTCAGTCACCAGGTTCTAGTCAGGTTCTCTTGCCAATTTCTGTAGTCAGGTTCACTCCAGGATCTTTTGCCATGGTCTCGCCAGCGAAGTTCTTCTGTCTGTAGGTTCTGTCTTCTTAGTTCTGTGTTCTAAGCTCTGTATTCTAAGTTCTGAGTCTTGCTGTGTTGTTACATCTGTATTTATACCAGTTGATTCAATCCTATCAATCTCTATTACAAAGGTTAGGGCGTTTCTTATCTCCATTCCAGGGAGTAAAGATTATGTAGCTTAAGCATGATTGTTCGTAGTTAAAGTGATTAATTACCCCCCTGGCACTTAGTTAAGAGGTTTTATTCCCTCCCTAACTTCAGGGGAAAATCCCTACCTGGGGAAGCAACTTTTCTCAGAGACCTTGGTTAAAACACATAGTGCCAAGAAGGTGAGCAAACATATTAAGAACAGTATGCCATATATGCCAGGTCCTTTGAAACAGCAAGGATGGACCGGCTCCCGGCAAGTCCGCAGGCCGATGCTCTATCCACTGAGCAAAACCGGCCAGGGCCATAATTATTTTATAAATGCATAAATGGGATCATAAATTTTTAAAAAGTTTTACTTTTTTACCTTTTTCTCCTTACCCATTATATGCCTCCATTATATTTTTTATTCTTACACGTAAAAAATTTGCTAATGAGGTATAATGTTTATTCAATAAAATTAATCTATTTTTAGTATGCATCAAGGAGTTTTGACAAATAGACTCGGTCATGTAACCAAGGTAACATTTCCATCTCCTCAGGAGTTCCCTTGTGTCCTTTGGTAGTCAGTCTACCTCCTCTACCATGTAAATGGGATCTTGTGCTTGTAACTTTCACTTACTCTCAGTGGCTCCGCATCAAATTTGCTACTCTTCATTATTTCTTATTAGATAAATTTCATCACTAATTAACCAGTTTTAGTTTAAGTCAGATACTGCGGGAGATCCAAAGCCTATATATACTCATTCCACTACACCAGCCAGTCTCAAGATGCATAAAAATGGGAAAGTAAGAAAATGTATGTTGTGTGAAAGCAACTATTTACAAACACTGTTGTAGTTTTTTTCTTTTTTTTCCAGGGTGGGATCTTTTCACAGAGTACTTTGAGAATCTGTTCCAAGTTCTGGAGCTTTCCTCCAGAAAAATAAGCAAACACATAAAATTTTGCACACTGCTTCAGGAGGTTTATTGAAATCCTTCATTGACCTCAGGTTAAATCAAGTATAAGATGAAGGGGCTGCGGGGGAGGGGGGGGTGATAAGGAACCAGGCCAAAGGAAATGTTAGGAATTATTGGGTGGCTCTTTCAGTGACCGAGCCTAAAAGGCAGGCAGAGGAGGATCTCTGGGTGCCTGGGACCTTTTGCTGACCTGCCCCTGGGCTTGGTGCTGGTGGAAGCCAGCCTTGGTGCACAGCTTGGTCCTTCCCACACACATCCAGGCCCAGCAGAGGCAGCCAAAAACTGTGGGTTGCTTTGTAGCTACAAACAGGTTGCCCAGGGCCAGTCCCAGGCAGTGTGTGACATTGACTTGCACCAGAGACACACCCAGTGGCCAGCTTCAAACAACATCAGAGCAGGATCCAATTAGTTTCACAAAATGGCAAAGGTTAAAGACAGGCAACAGACCCTGCTGAGGCAAATTTCACTTCATGTGGTCAGCACCCACACAGCAGCTTGTATATGTGGTCAGGGTCAACTCTCACCATCAACTAGCCTGAGGGTCAATCCCACACACAAATGGGCCAATAGCAATCAAGACTCAGTTATAGTAGGAGGTGTCACATAAACCACACAAGGGACAATCCTGAAGCACCCAGCTCAGGTAATCAAGGAGACTGTGCCACTGGGTTCCATAGGACACCTACTACATAAGGCCACCCTACCAAGACTAGGAGATCTGCCTAATACATAGAAACAAACACAAAGAGGCAGCCAAAATGGGGAGACAAAGAAACATGCCCCAAATGAAAAAAAAAAAAAAATCTCATTAAAAAAATAAGTAAAAAGGACCTAAATGAAATGGAGGCAAGCAATTTACCAGATACAGAGTTCAAAAATATGTTTATAAGAATGCTGAAGAAATTTAGTGAGAATTTCAATAGCATGGAAAAGGACATAGAAACCATAAAAAAGAGCAAGTCAGAAATGAAGAATACAATCTGAAATGAATACACTAGAAGAAATAAATAGTAGGTCGGATGAAGCAAAGGATCAAAACAGTAATTTGGAAGACAAGATAGCAGGAGAAACCCAATCAGAGAAGCAAAAATAAAAAAAGAAAAGAAATGAGGATAGTTTAAGGGATATGTGAGACAACATGAAGTGTAACAATATCTGCATTGCAGGGGTACCAGAAGGAGAAGAGAGGGAGCAAGGGATCAAGAACCTAATTGAAGAAATAATGGCTAAAAACTTCCTTAACCTGGTGAAGAAAAAAGACATGCAAATTCAGGAGATGCAGAGAGTCCCAAACAAGATGTACCCAATGAGGTCCACACCAAGACACATAATAATTAAAATGGCAAAGGTTAAAGACAAAGAGAGAATCTTAAAGCTGCAAGAGAAAGACAGTTAATTACCTACAAGGGAGCTTCCATAAAACTGTCAGCTGATTTCTCAATAGAAACATTTCAGGCCAGATGGAATTGGCAAGAAATATTCAAAGTGATGAAAAGCAAGGACCTACAACCAAGACTACTTTACCCAGCAAAGCTATCATTTAATATTGAAGGAGAAATAAAGACCTTTCCAGACAATAAAAAGCTAAAGGAGTTCATTCCACAAAACCAGTATTATAAGAAATGTTAAAGTTCTTCTTGAAGAAGGAGGAGAAGGAAGAGGAAAAGGAGGAGGAGAAGGAGGAAGGGAGGAA